GAAGTGGTGGTTGGCAGTGAACTGAAATCATGCCGCTGTGCTCTAGCCTGAGTGACAGAGCAAGACTCCGTATCAAAAAAAAAATATATGGTTTTATATCTTTGTCAAAAATCAGTTATTAGTTGAGCATGTGTATATGAGTCTCCTTCTAGATTCCCTGTTCTGTTCCATTGACTGATGTGTCTGTCTCTCTGCCAATACTCCCACACAGTCTTGATTAGACTCAAATAGTAATCTATTTTTTTAGTACTAATTCATTTTACATATATTATGTCTAATGTTAGTGTTTATACTAGTTCAAAATCAGTCTTTAAGTCAAATAGACTAATTACTGCTACTATATATTATTCCAAAATGGTTTCAGTTATTCTAGTTCCATTGCTTTTCCAAATACATTTGGAATAATTTTTTCTATACCTATAATAAATCTTGTTGGGTTTTGGTCAGAATCAAATTAAATTTATATGTCAATTTGGGGAGAACTAACATCTTTGTTGAGACTTGCAATCCATGAACATAACGATATCTCTCTCCAGTTCTCTTAAGTTTCTTACCAGCATTTTGCAGTTTTCATCACAAAAGTCCTGTACATGTTCTGTTATCTACACCTAACCAGTTCATTTTTTTTAGCCATTCTAGATAGTATTGTATTCTTATCTCCTTGCCTTATTGCTGATCTTAGGGAGAAAGCATTTAGTCTTTTACCATTAAGTATAATGTTAATTACAGGATTTTTTTTTGTAAAGGAGCTTTATCAAGTTGAGAAAGTTCACCTCTGTTCCTAGTTGTCTGAGAATTTTTAGTCATAAATAGGTACTGAATTTTGTCAAATGCCTTTTTTATGTTTGCTTTGATTGATGTCATCCTGTGATTTTTCTCTTTCTTTTTAGCCTGTTGGTATGGTGAATTGTATTGATTGATATTTGAATATTAAACTGGCTTTGCATCCCTAGAATATGCCTAACCAGTTCTCTGTGTATTAGGTTGGTGCAAAAGTGCTTGACCTTTTGGATCATGAATTTTAAGTCATTGTAACTAGGCTTGAACACCTCTTTATTATCAAAATAAAAACGATTACAACCAACATACTTTTGCCAACAAAAAATAAGTTTGTTTATTCCTGAAGCGTAAAAATCCGAGCTTTGGGATCCGCAAACTTTTGGAAAGCATTTTCTGCATCCTGCTGGTTGTGGAAGCATTTTATCAAAACAAGTTGTCGAGATGCTAGAAGAAGTGGTAGTCGCTTGGTGAGAGGTCAGGAGAATTTGGTAGATGAGGCAAAACTTCATAACCCAGTTAGTTCAACTTTAGAAGCATTGGTTGTGCAACGTGTGGTCAGGCCTTATTGTGGAGAAGAATTGGGCCCTCTCTGTTGACTAATGCCAGCTGCCGGCCTTGCAGTTTTCAGTGCATCCCATTGATTTGCTGAGCATTCTTGTCAGATGTAATGGTTTTGCCAGGATTCAGAAAGCTATAGTGGATAAGACCTGCAGCCGACCACAAAACAGTGACCATGACCTGTTTTGGGGACAAGTTTGGCTTGGGGAAATGCTTTGGAGCCTCTTCTCAGTCCAGCCACTGGGCAGGTCATCACAGTTTGTCATATAAAATTCACTTTTCATTGTACATCACAATCCAATTGAGAAATGGTTTGTTGTTTTTGCATAAAATGAGAGAAGATGACACTCCAAAATGATACTTTTGATTTTCACTCAGCTCCTGAGACACCCGCTTATTGAGCTTTTCACCTTTTTGATTTGCTACAAATGCCAAGAGACCATAGAATGGTCAACATTCAGTTCTTGAGGATCAGCTTCTCAGTTGGTCATTGTTCACTTCCAACTGCTGGCCAATATGCTACTCATCTTCAAGGCTCTTGTCTCCTTTGCACAACTCCTTGAACCACCACTGTACTGTAGGCTCATTAGCAGTTCCCGGGCCAGATGCGTTGTTGATGGTGAGTTCAATTTGAACTCAAATAAGAAAATTGCTTGAATTTGCTTGTTGATTAATGATATTTTCATATTCTAAAATAAACAGCGTTATAATTCATTAGCAAAAAAAAAGCAAGAAATGCCTATTAAAATGATGGATAGAATAACCACATTTATTTAAGAATGTATTTCAATATCAAATGGCAAATTCCAACAACGCACTCACCTAATATAATACTTTTTTATATATTGATGTTAATATATAAAATTTATATATTTTTGCTAATGTTTTGTTTAGAAATTTTGTGTCCATATTCATGAGAGATATTGGTCTGTAGATTCTTCCTTTTACACTGTCTTGTCTGATTTAAGTATCAGGGTAATGTCAACTTCATAAAAGAAATTAAGAAATATTCCCTCTTCCTCTGTTTTCTCAAAAAGCTTATGTAGAATTGGTGTTAAAACTTTCAATAATGGCTGGACAAGGTGGCTCATGCCTGTAATCCCAGCATTTTGGGAGGCCCATGCAGGTGGATCACCTGACGTCAGGTGTTCAAGACCACCCTCGCCCACATAGTAAAACCCCATCTATACTAAAAATACAAAAGTTAGCTGGGTGTGGTGGCAAGTGCCTGTAATCCCAGCTATTCAAGAGCCTGAGGCAGGAGAGTCGCTTTAACCCAGGTGGTGGAGGTTGTAGTAAGCCAAGATAGCTCCATTGCACTCCAGCCTGGTTGACAAAAGTAAAACTCCCTCTCAAAAAAAAAAACAAAAACCTGTCAATATTTGTTACAATTATCCAGTTAAATTATCTGTAGATTGCTTTTTGAGAGAGTTGTTAAATTACATATTCAATCTCTTTCTTTCTTTTTTTTAAATAGAGACAGGGTCTTGCTTTGTCACCCAGGCTGGAGTGCAGCAGCATGGTCATAGCCCACTGTAGCCCCAAACTCTGGGGCCCAAGCCATCCTTCCACCTCAGCCTCCTAATTAGGTAGGATTACAGGTGCGTGTCACCATAACTAGCTAATTGTTATTTTTTAGTTTTTGTATAGATGGTGTCTCACTATGTTGCCCAGCCTGGCCTCAAACTCCTGGTCTCAAGTGATCCTCCTGCCTTGGCCTCCTAAAGCACTAGGATCACAGGCATGAGCCATCATGCCTGGCCTGCAGTTTTCTTAATAGTAATAGGACTCATTTCAGGGCTCATTATAAGGATCAATCAAGCGATCTAATTTATATTGAGTGAGTTGTGGTAATATGTGTTTTAAAAGAGGTCGTTCATTTTATCTAAGATACCTAATTTATGTGTTTAGTGTAATTTGCAGTTTTCCCATATTATCTTTTGCCATGTGTAGTCATATCATACAAATTTCTCGTATTGATAATTTGTGTATTTTTTTATTTGTCAGTCTTGCTGAGAAAATACCAATTTTGTTAATCTTTTCAAACACACATTTTTTTCATCTATTTTTCCCTGTGGTTTTTCTGTTTTCATTTTTGCATACTTGTGCTCTTATTTTCTTTCTCTTCTGCTTTAGGTTCATTTTGCTCTTCTTATCCTTGGTTTTTGACATTGGAGCTTTGATTATAGATTTGAGACTTTTCCTCTTTTCTAGTTTGTGCACTTATTGCTATTAATTTCACTGTGAGCATTGCTGTACCTGTATCCCACAAATGTTGATATGTTGTACTTTCATTTTCATTCACTTCAATTTATTTTTCTTTCACTTGAGACTTCCTCTTTGACTTCTTAAAGTATGTTGATTAGTTTCCAAGCATTTGGAGATATTTCTGTTACCTTTCTATTACTGATTGCTATTTTGAATATACTGTAGTCTGAAAACGCTTTCTGTATGATTTCAGTTATTTTTAATTTGTTGAGATATGCTTTGCATGCTATATAACGTGACCTACCTATCTTGGGATATGTTTGTGGGCACTTGAAAATAATGTGTATTCTTCTGTGGTTGGGTGGTATGGTTAATAAATGTCAACTAGATTCTGTTGATGAATGATTTGTTTGAGTCTATATCCTTGATAATTGTTTGTTTAATTGTTCTGTCCATTATGGGGAGATGTGTGTCAAAGTATACAACTATAAATGTGAACTTGTCTATTTCTCTTTTCTGTTTCATACTCTACATATTTCGAAGCTTTGTTTTGTTGCATACATATTCAGAGATGCTATGTCTTCTTGTTGGATTGTTTCTTATATCATTGTCTAATGTCTACCTGTGTCTCTGGTAATTTTCTGTGCCTGGAAGTCTATTTGATATTATTAAAGACTCCTGTTTTCTTTTGACTAATGTTTACCTAACATACTTATTTTAATCATTTTACTTTCAACCTGTTTATATTATTATATATAAACTTTTATTGTAAATAGCATATAATTGGCCCACGGTTTTTATTTTTTAATTGTACTTTAGGTTCTGAGGTACATGTGCAGATCATGAAGGATTGTTGCATAGGTACCTACATGGCATCCTGGTTTGCTGCCCCCATCCCTCTGTCACCTATATCTGACATTTCTCCCCTTCCTTCTCCTTCCCAAACCTCCCCACCCGGCACTGTCCTTCCCTTAGCCCCCCCAACAGACCCCAGTTTGTGATGCTCCCCTCCCTGTGCTCATGTGTTCTCATTGTTCAACACCCACCTATGATCCAGAACATGTGGTATTTCGTTTTCTGTTCTTGTGTCAATTTGCTGAGAATGATGGTTTCCAGATTCATCAATGGGCCATGATTTTTATATCCACTATGCAAATCTCTGCCATTTCATTGGTGTATTCAAACAATTAACATTTAATTCAATAGCTTATTTGTATGATTTAAGCCTGCCATTTAAATATTTTTTTTCTGTTTGTTCTTTCTGTTTTTATTTCTCTGAGTTTTTTCTTCTGCCTTTTTTGTGGGATACTTGAACAAATTTTAACATTTTTAGAATGTTGACATATTTAGAAATTTTTTTACTAAATTTCTTTATGTAATGTTTTAGTGGTTGCTTTATGTATTATGTTACATATACATAACTTATCACAATCTACTGCTATCTTCATTTCACCATTTCACGTAGTTAAAAAAAAAATCTTACCTACTTTTTGTACCTTTATTCTTACCCATTTATAATATAATTGTCTTAGATATTTCCTTGACATGCATTTAGAACTATACCAAACTGTGCTGTTTATGTTTCCATAATTAAACATAATTTAGAAAACTCCAGAAAAGGAAAGTCTATTCTATTTACCCATATTTGTATGTACTAAATTATTTCTTCCTTTCTAAACTTACAAGATTCCTTCTTTTGTCATTTCCAGTCTGTTTAGACAACTTCCTTAGCCATTCTGTCAGGTTAAGCCTTATAGTTGAAAATTATTGTAGTTTTCTTTAACAATGTTTTGCTTTCCCTTTCATTTCTAAAGGATATTTTCTATGGATATAAAACTCTGGGTTGATAGTCTGGGTTGCTTTCAGCAAGTGAAATGGTTGTGTTCTTTCCTTTTATCCTTCATGGTTTCTGATGAGAAACCCACTATCCGAATCATTTTTCCCCTATAGGTAAGCCTATGTTTTTCTCCTGCTCCTTTCAAGATTTTTTCTTTGTTTTAGTTTTTATAAGTTTGATTGTGATACGCTTTGGTATAAATTTTTTTGGTTATATTCTGTTTGTGGTTTGCTCAGCTTCTTGATTGTATCTTCTTTGCTATACTTTGGAAGTTTCCAGCCACTATAGCCACTATTTCTTTGAGGATATTTTAAGCACTGCCCTTTTCCTCCTCTCTTTCTGGGTTGCTAATGACACAGATACAAATGTTTTATTTTTTGTTACAGTTTCACAGTTTCCCAAGTCTCCATTTTTAAGTATAGTTTATTTATGTTGTTCAAATTAAGTTATTTCCATTCTCTCTTCGAGTTTACGGATTCTTTCTTCTGCCTTTTCCACTCTGCTGTCAAGTACATCCTTTTAGTTTTTAATAATTTCAATTATTTTATTTTTCAGTTATAAAATTTTGATCTGATTATTCTTTGTATCTTCTATTTCTTTGTCACAACTTTAACCTTTTTTATTTGTTTCAACCATGTTTATAATTGTTCCTTGAGGTGTTTTCATGATGGCTGCTTTAAAATCTTTGTGAGATAATTCTAACACCTCTGTCATCTTGATGTTCACATGTATCAACAGTCTTGTAAACATTCAGTTTATGATCTCCCTTCTGCTTTGTGTGACAAATGATATTCAGTTGAAACCTGGACATTTTAGGTATTATGGTTCTTATTTAAACCTTCTGTTTTACCTGGCTGCTTCTTCCACCACTCCAGCTGGGAAAAGTCAGGGGTGGGGGGTGCCAACTTGTTACTGCCAGATATGGATAGAAGTATCTCATGCTCCTCAGTAAACCTCCACTGGTCTCTGCTACCAAACTGACCTCCCCTGATATCTTCCAGGCTAGGAAAAAATGAGTAGTTCGTTGATACTTTATTGTGCTCTTCACCAGTGCTTTAGAAGTTGAGGGATAGCAGGGTAGCTTTGTTACAGCTGGACAGTTTTAAATGTTCTGAATCTCTACCAAGCCTCCTCTGATACTGCCTCAGTGGAGAGGGAGATGGATGCATCATTATTGTTGAGTTTGGTGTGGAAATGCAGACTGTTCATTTAGTCAACATAGACACTGCATGTTGGGTAAGAGAAGAATCTTGCTAACCCTCAACAGGGATGAAACCCCTAGATTCCTGCTCAGACTTTTTTTATAGTACTTTGGGTCCTGGACAGAGAGGGTGTTGAAGTATTCTGGCAAGGGTCAGTGTCTGTGTTTTCTGCTTTGTCTTTGCAGGTGTGCATGGGGATGGGACCAGAATTCTTTCTCTGCTGTTCAACTAGAGCAAAATGGTATTGCGTTCTGTCTTTCTAGGCTGTCTCTTTCTTGTTCCTTTGACTAGAGAGAACAGGCTTTTGTTGGAACTTTGTTTTTTGTTTGTTTGTTTTGTTTTGTTCGCACCAGTTGGTATTTCTAGGTTGCAGGCTTCTTCAGCTCTGAAGTTTTGATGTATAACATAAAAATTAAAAATCCATATTATTCCTTGAGTCCTTCAGTCTCTAGCTAGTTTTTCATCTTCTCTAAGCTTTTCAGAATGTCCTTAAATTTGTTTGATATGTAATGTGCCAGGATTTTAGTTGTACCTAGCAGGGGGATTAAGAAAAACTATTTTCTCCATCTTTCTAGAAGTGAAAGTCTATTACTTTGTTTCTTTTTAAAAATTGTTTTGGGCTAGGCACAGTGGCCTGTAATCCCAGCACTTGGTTGAGGCGGGTGGATCACCTGAGGTCAGGAGGTCAAGACCAGTCTGATCAATGTGGAGAAACCCCGTCTCTACTAAAAATGCAAAATTAATTAGCCAGGCGTGGTGGTGCATGCCTATAATCCCAGCTACTTGGGAGACTGAGGCAGGGAGAATCACTTGAACCAAGGAGGCGGAAGTTGTCGTGAGCCGAGATCACACCACTGCACTCCAACCTGGGCAACAAGAGCAAAATTCCATCTGTGGAAAAAAAAAATTGTTTTTAATTGGGAATGTGGCATGTCATTTTCACATTAGATTCTCTCAGAAAATTCAACAGAATTATACAAAATAATTTAATAATGTAATATTAAAAAGGAAACCTTCAGACAGAGAAAACATCTCTATCTGTAATTTATTTTTAATATCCATTTTACTTCCATTTTCCAATTTCTGTCATCAGTTTGTTTCTTGACAAGTTTGTCTCTTTTAGGACCTGTAACATATCTGTTAAGTAGTGAGCTTTTCTCACTTAAAAGTACTTACTGAATGACTTCCACTTGCGAGTCATGTCAGTTTCCTTCATTGTGGTTCCCCTGTGCCTATCAGAAGGCCTGACACATACTAGTACTTCATAAATAATCTGCTGCACAAGTGAATGAGAATTGGAAACTTAAAATTTTATTTCAATGAATGGGTCATCTACTTTCTTGTTTTGCTGAAGCATGGGACTTAAGTCCCTACCAAACACTCTTTACACATATGCTTAGGACACTAGCAGATTTGTCCAGAATTTTGCAATCTAGAAAAAAAGCAATTTTAATTTTAGCAAGTGTGAAAATTTTTTGTTTTATTGTTTAGAATTGCATTATTTTGAATTACAGTTGGGAAGGAGAACATGATGGTTCTCATGTGTGTGTGTGTGTGTGTATGTGTGTGCGCGTGTGCACGCACGCACACATTCACTCCTATAATTGCTAAAGAAAGTCACCTGAAGGGCATGGCACAAAAACAATCACAAATCATTTTTAGGTTATGTTTCCTAGATGGCTGAATCTTTTTCCTTTTTTCAGATTTGTTTTTATTAGACAAGTCACAGTTTGAATATCTTTGAAAGTCATTGTTATGTATTGTGCAGTGTATATGTTTATATGTGGAAGAGGGGCAATATTAATTCCTGTTGGGAAATTTGTGCAAACATAATCATATGTTAGATTCTCCAATTATTGGAACATTTAAAAAAATAAAGTCAAAGGACATGGTTCTTTTTAGTGCTACTCAGTATATTTGGTTTCATAATCATGCTTGTTTTCCTGCCTGGCTTTAAATTCTGCTTAAGGAAATTGTGAAAAATTTAATTCACTCTACTTTTATTATAAGAAATAGAAATGTTCATACATGGGAACTTTCATTGCCTGCTAGAATGGAAATTCACTGAGGAGGGGGGAACCATTTCATTTTACTACCTAAGAGCTGTTGATACAGTCCCTGCATCTTTCAAAGGCATCTTTCATGCCACACCGGCAAACTGTAGTCAGCGAAGAAACAGAAAGAGCCCTTCTCACATATGTCAATCTCAGAAAACTTGTACAGCAGCTGTGCTAGGTACTGATGAGGATGACTATAGGACCCAGTTGCAGGGTTTTGTGTGGATAAAGAGACAACTGGCTTTCTCAGAGGACCACTTTGTTGGAGATTGTAGCAATAATGCATCCCCACTGTTGCTAGAAGACATTGTGACCATGTACTACAAAATCAGTGCCAGATAAAATCAGAAAGTAACAAAAAGCAAGAAGAAAACTCGGAGTCTTTTTAAATCTTAAAGTGAGAGACGAAAACAAATGTTCTGGGCTTGTTTCATTCAATTGTAAGGAAAAGGAGACAGATGAAGGGATGCCTTTAACTCAGAAAACTTGCCCAGCTCTCAGTCTTTTCATTTGAGAACCATTTGGGTGTGTTGGGAAAAAAGTTGCAGAGTAGGCATGTTCAAACATTTATTTGCTACATTTGGTAGGGAAGATTTCCTCCCCCCGCCCCCCCCTTAACTACAGGAAGCCAGAGTTTTCTGTGCAAACGAAACAGGCATTGCAAGAATCAGATTCACTTTGGACGACTCTTCACATTCCAAGTCATCATTGCGTTAGGCAGCACAATTCCATCTCTGGTTGATGGGCAGAAAAAGTGGGCAGCTTGCCAGGTAGACGTTTCCATGACTCCCAGCCCCCAAAGGTGATGCGTTTTTCAGCTAATTCAATGAAGAGTGGGCTGAACTTTGGGTCTAAACGAGACAATAGCTGCCTTCGCAGTATCAGCAGAATGGTTGATGGGAATGCACTCTACATTTGGCAGAGAATCATGTGACCTTACGGCAGAGATTTTGTGATGGTGCCAACGGAGACTTGGAAAGCAGCAACCGTCCTGACTTTTTTCTTCTTTTCTAACATGGCTCAGAAAATGGTGGATCTTAATACTTGACTTTAGCCAGACTCAGCAAGCGACTGAGCTTTGAAGCACAACTTCGTCTTTATTCTGGGTTTTTGGCAGGCCACCAGGAGGCTGTCCCTTTCACGCCTGATAAATTCTGCTGCTTATCTCTAAATAGAAAAAAAAAAAGGAAAATAATAACAGAATATTGAGGCATAACAAGTGAATTCTAAAATTGTATGTACTTTATGTTTTTTTGCCTTTGACTGCTAATTTTTTTCTTTTCTTTTTTTTTTTTTTAAGTGTTAATTTAATACCCTTTCTGCTTGTAGAAGAATCCAAGTAGTTGGGTTTTTTTTTTGTTTTTTTTTTTTTTTGGTTTATAATGAAACAGGCATTTGAACTGGGCAAACAGGACGACAGCAGCAGTGAGCATGAGATCATTGCATTGCAGCAGTGTAGCAAACTGGCACCCTGCCTTTGCACCCTTTGGTTCAGGAGACAAACGTGTGCAATCCTCATTTCTAAAGTCAGCACAGCCTGGAAGGATTCCTGGTCTCTCCCACCTTCTACCATTCTGCTGCCAGTGACGGCAAGGATTGGTGCAGCTTCTGCGCAGTGCTTTGTGCCTGGAATACCGAGAAGGAGGAAAAAGAAGACAAGCACCCTGGTCCTTAAGAAATTACAGGCGCCCTTGAAGAAAAAAATCTGAGTTTGTCCTACTACATGCAAGAGTGCTGGAAAAAAAAAAAAAAAAAGACGCTCCTGCTCAAAAACAAAAACAAAAACAAACAAAAATCCAAACCAAAACAAACCAAAAAAAAGCAAACATTGACTGTAACTACAGAGACATCGGGCTTTGTAAAGCAGCTTTTTAAGGCAATATATCCAAATGAGCCTTCTTTATTTTTATTATTTCAAACAATATGGCATAATTAACAATATATTGCACTTGGTGAAATCGTACCTTTCAAATCAGGTATAACTTTTTTGTTGTTTTTTTTCTTTTAAAGACTACTGTTATATAAAAGAGAATCCTTGAACTTTCCATTTACTCTTATTTGACTCATTGCCCACTTTACTCTTGTTAACTTTTTCCTTTTCCTCTCTTGCTCTAATCTTGATTAGAATAGAAACTTAAGTAAACATAGAAAAATCTCTATGAAAAAGACAATACATGTTTTTATGTGGGGTATACACAGAAGTTTTGGAAGGACATTAATGTATCTGTGCTTTTTGTGTCCAGTATTAGTTTTTGCTGTCTAAGAAAAGTGAATGTTTAGATCTAGTGGGTAAAAAAGTAAATCTTTCATGTGACTTATGCTTTGAAATGTGAAATAAGAAATTTTTTAAACTTGTAGTAAAAGGTTATATTAGAATATGCATTAAATTACTGATAAATAAGATTACTTTTGGGGAAGTTATATTCAAATTATTTATAAAGATTTCAGCAGAACAAAAATAGTAATGAAAAGAGCATGTTCTCGGTTGCTAGGTAGAAAAGAAGCTTCTTTCATAATAATACTCTCTTTTAAAATATGTTTTAAGAGAAGTATTTGTCCTAGAGCAGTTGCAAAAAGCATTGGAAACATTCATTAAGTATATTAGTAGAAAAAGTACATACAAACTTGTTTTAAGTTCAGAGCAATATTGCTCAGCAGATAAATGCATTGCATTGTAATTATTGTGTCTGTTTGTAGAAGTAAATTGCGAAGCAATTTAGGCATTTTATTAAAAAAACAGTTTTGCCTGGTTCAGTGTGAAAGGATTAGGAGATGCATTTGGTTATTTTAATTTTGATACAAAATGTTTCTAAACATGTGTTTAAAATATTTTTAAAAGAGAATGCTTTTGAAAAAGTCAGGATATATCAATGAAGACTATAATTTTCATACTAAGAATTGATGTTATAATATTTTGGTAAAAAATAAATTTGGTACTCTTATGATTTTAAAATCATATTTTATTGTATTAAAAATATGTAGGGTAAACAATGAGAAATATAGAACTGAATAATTCTGCCTTCGTGTTTGCTATTCTATGAACAATTACAGGAAATTACAAAATCCCTATATACTGATAACATTCAAATAAAACATTTTGTTGATTATTATTAACTAGTTATTTACAAAATAGCTCTTCTTCCTCTATGCTGCCTCAGCTAATGGTACACCAACTTTCACAGGCTTAATTAATATTGATAACCTGTTTCCATGTTTCAAGATCCTTTAGTTTAAAAACATTATTTTAAATGTGATTTTAGCAGCCATTAATCTCTACACTCTTAATTATCTTATTAAGCTCCATGCCAAATCCAAATCTCTTTTCAGCTTTCACTATTTCATTGTGCAAAACCTAGTCGCTTCCTTAACAGCCATCATCCTTTCACTTTCAAAACTGTTACTGTGAAAATAACACCAACCAAAATGAACGCATAAATGCAAACTATGAAACCACTTTATATGTCATATGAGTAGCCTGGGTGGGGCCCTATGAGTCTTCCAAGCCTTTAAAAAAAAATACTTTAAAAGGTTTTGCCCATTTTGATACCATGTTTTCGTCTCGATCATCTATCCTCATTCCCACCATCCACTCAGATGCTCCTCCTAGACAGCAGTTGTCTGATATTTCTCCTTTTGTGGTTGTTTTAGGGAAAAAACTTAAAATGGATATGAAAAGTGAAGAAAGTGATCATAGGAGAAAACCATTTCAGGTAAAAATTAAAAACAGAGCAATTAATATTTAATATTTTAAAGAAAAACCACATTATTTTGATGGTGTTTGTTGTAAGAATTCATTTCATATTCTTTATGAGTCTGGCCGTTGAATTTTTTTGACTGTTTTCATTTGAAAATGTGTAATGTGACCTGCCTCTGTGAAAAATTTCTTGTGGGCAGTTCACATCCCATTGAATATATGTCTGTATATCCATACGCTTAAGATAGGTGCAATATGGTTTACTAGAAAGCTATTTAAGAAAAGAAAAAATTATATTTTCTTATTTGTTGTACCATATAAAAAGAAGTGAAATCAGGAGGAGGGGAATAAGGTCATGCTTTTTAATCTTTTTTACGTGACCTGAAAAGACAATGAAATCAAAATATGCATTCTTATAGTTATGATAAAACGAAACCCAATGCTGCCTTTTATTTCACATTTGCATTTATAAATATATGTTGAAATATTTTTTACTACAATTGAATGTATGATTGTTGATTATTTACTATAGTTTTTAGTAATTATAAGGACAATTTAAGAATAAATAATGGTTAAAAATTATGTAGAACACAGTAGCTATATAAAGTCTATAAAACATATTTTATTTATTTCAAAATATGCAAAATCACTAAGTAATTAGTATGTAGTATTATTTTACACAATAAAGATATAATTAGGAAATGCTAAATGATTATAGATGTAAGTGAAATGATTAATGATTGTACAACTTATAATTTTGTTGCAGTTGAGTTTAGAATCTTTAAAAAAAGTGCATGTGGCTGGCTTTATGTTTACTTGTTCCTGTGTTTGCTTGTTGTCTGGTGGTTTAAAAAAAATTTTCGTTACATTTTATTTTTGCCCAACCTGTTGACCAGATGAGAGTTGTATGTAGCTATGTATTTTAAGTGTATCTATTTCGAACAATAAATTTAAATATGTAGGAAATACATATTCTTATTTAGGAAATACATATTCTTATTTAGGAAAGAAGGCATGTTATGACATGTAATATATCTGGAGTATAGATGTTAGTGTGGAGTATTAGTAATGATGCCATTATTGTGCCATTTATTTTAGTTTTGTATTAACTCATCCAAATATTGTAAATTTTAGCACCATTCCAACTATAGACGTGGATGTATATATTTAAGGCTGATAATAACTTCCTGTGTTCCTCTACCTAGTAAACAAGATCTTACTTATTTTATGAGAAAGTTATAATGTTACCAATTCATTGAAACCACTAACTAAACTACTTTTATAAAAATTAAAATAAGCACAGTCTAATTCATACACAATTCACTTAATAGTTAATTTGGTTTTAATTATAGGCTCATAATACCACATTCATGCCTCACAATTACATAATTCATACATGCACGTATGGATTCTTTTTTTCTTTTAAAACTCATCATGAATTAGGGTAGTTTAATTCCAAAATATTTACCATTGAAACAAAAGCAGCTCATGAAAAATTTTTCAACAGACTAGTTTTTAAATTCTCATGCATATAAATTTGTGCTAAGTTTCAAATATTTATGAAGGCCTTTCATGGAGAATATGCATCCTTAGGATTCAGCATTTAAAACATTTGCACTAAGGGATCAATATTATTTTCATCTCTTAATTGCATCAGATATTTACAACAAATTATATATTAATAGGGAGCCCATGCAAGATGTTGCCCATTGGCATAAACCCGTAGATCCGATCTTGTGGTGAAGTGGACCGCACAAGCTCGCTTCTATGGGTCTGTGTCAGTGTGGTAATCTGACAAAATGCTATACACAATGCCGTTCAATCAGTTCCGTAAGATCCTGTTAAACTCCAGTTGATTATATACTTCTGAAGTAATTATATTTTCCTTTGTTTTTCATGTATATTTTAATCGTCATCTGTCTTACAAGGCAGGCTTCAATTCTCAACAACTTGGAAACGTTTATAGCACAGCCATTCAAGTTTGATTCCATGTGCAGTAAATTGCATAATAAAGTTGAATCTTTATAGCAAGGTTTGGACCACGATCTGAATAGATCCTGTTCAGAAACTTCAGTGCGTACTGTAGTGTTAGTGTACCTCTTCAACTTCAGTAAGAAAATTAAAGACTACCACTGGATTTATATGTTTTTATTGAGCCTATTTTTCATGAAAAAAAGGAGGCTGAATGCAATTGATTTTTAATATTAATTGCTAGTAGAACTATGGCAAGAGAGATATGAAAAGACATTTTATGTGACCTATGCTGAAAAGCCACATGTTTAGGTTAATCCTGTGAGAAACAGTTAAAGTTTACTGGTAAAATGTTAGAATATTATATCTACATCCTTGCCAAGCTCTTAGGTATATGGCTGCCATATTTGGAGGAGCTGACTGAAGATATGATAAGGAGTTTGAAGCAACATTGGAAGCTGTGTGCATCCGGGTTGAGGTAGTAGGTTGTATGGTTTAGAGTTACACCCTGGGAGTTAACTGTACAACCTTCTAGCTTTCCTTGGAGCACACTTGAGCCATCGAGGAATTCTTCATCACTTTAATCTGATTGAGCCAAGTTCTGTGCAAGAAGGTAATGTGTCATGAGTATCTTAGATCACTGACTTGAGCCTTTATTAACATTAAAATGATCATTTCAGCCCTTTTAGATTATTCCATTTGCATCTGCTTATGAACAATGGGAAATGGTATTTCTAATGGGTTGTCACTCCATGTTCAAACATTTTAAGAAAATTGTGGGTAGTGACTTAAACTACATTAATATTAAAGCTTTTTATCATCTATAGATTAAAATTCAGCCCTTAATTTTCAAATTGATCATGGGTCTATTTATATTGACTGCTTAGACACTATAAGAAAAAATGTCTGCTAGAGTTAATAGCTCCCGTAGCACATTATTTGAGTTTTGTTATGACACATCACTTTCTACCTTATGTTATGGCTATTTATGTGCTTGCTTATTTTTTCCATACTAGACTGTAAGCCCCTTGAGGGCAAAGTCCATGCTTTATTTTTCATTGTATCCCCTGCAATGCCTTACTCATCATAAGCACTAAATATTTATTGGATAAATGAATGGAGTGTAAGACCTCACTCTGTGATGAGTTTCTATTGAATATTTGAATGAATTATGGCAATGGTCAAACATCCGAGTTTTATTTATTGCTCCTAAAATTGTTTAAATTTAATTACTGGACTGCTCCACATCAGTAATATATGTGACAATTTTTGACTTTTGAATGTGTCCATTCATCCTAATCAGATAATTTAATATTAAGAAGTACTTACTACCTAGAATTAAAAAAGAGCAAATTCATTTTTACTAATTAGTTCATGATAGTTTATGATCTTAAATTTAGATAATTTATATTTCTGTTGAATTTTAAATACCTGTTTCTAGATGAATTGTTTTTCTTTTAGCATTGATTTTAGCTAAATATTCTAAGTCTTATTTAACAATATAATTTTTTTAAATTAGATTTTCGTGTTTTGTATATTTCCCTCATCTCCTGCCCTTTATTTTTGTACAGCTATGTCTGTTGAATAAATGAGAAGCAACTAAACTAGAAACATGTCAAGGAATTAATAATAAATATGTATATAAAGTATAATTTGGGGATATGAACACATTTTTGTTTAAAGGAAAGGCAACTTATAATATTCTTTATGTTACAAAGTAAATGTGACTCTTTGGAATCTTAGTTTGCTGTCAACTTGAGTAGCACTTAGTGGTATAATTTTTGTAGTGATGCTATCTTACATAGATCATCTTTCAAACACAGGATTAAGTAGTCGTTGATGTTAGAACTTTAAAACTCCAAGTATGAAACATGGAATACATTAAAAAGATGTTTAGGTGCAAATATATATAATGAATCTTAAAATACTGGCTATGTGGTGATGGCCTTTCTAGAATACTCAGGCATCCAAAATATCTTATTACCTAGAATTTGCTAACAATGTAGTGAAGAAGGAACGTCTTCCCCCCAACATGTAGAAAATGTGAGCCTTAGAAAGTGAATACCAGGCCGGGCGCGGTGGCTCAAGCCTGTAATCCCAGCACTTTGGAAGGCCAAGGCGGGTGGATCACGAGGTCAAGAGATCGAGACCATCTTGGTTAACATGGTGAAACTCCGTCTCTACTAAAAATACAAAAAATTAGCTGGGCATGGTGGTGCGTGCCTGTAATCCCAGCTACTCAGGAGGCTGAGGCAGGAGAATTGCCTGAACCCAGGAGGCGGAGATTGTGGTGAGCCAAGATCGCGCCATTGCACTCCAGCCTGGGTAACAAGAGCGAAACTCCGTCTCAAAAAAAAGAAAAAAAGAAAGTGAATACCAATCACTTCAACCAAAGACTATTCCTCTTTGTGAAGGACTAATGAAGAAGCAATGGATAAGAGGCAGTAGACATAACACAAACAAAAAGACATGAAGAGATGAAAAGGAACGTGACCCATAGCAAAGAGAAACACCACTATGTCTAATGATGGCAGTTCAACCCACAGGTGAAAGAAAGGGACAACTAAATGGGTAAACAATTACATCTTTATAAATAGCTTTTTCCTTGAGAACCTAGGATCCCTTTCCTATGTATTTCTATGTATGTGTGTCTCCCCATGCTAGGTGCATTTATTTAGAAGCCAAATCTACTGATGGGTCAAAAAGAATATGATTGCCAATAAATGTCCATTTTCTTACAGTGTAATGGAGTTAAGTGCCTCACAAAGGTCAAGTAAGATATGCAGTTTAAGGATAATCTTATAAAAGTACTATAATGAATTGTTAGAATTACCATCTCTTTTAAATACTATCATCTAAGGTGAAGGAGTATAACTGAAGAATAACTGAAGAATGATGAGGGTGTAGCTATGATTTATTATGTTAGTCATGCAGAAATCATAAGAAGAAATCTGACTGGGCGTGGTGGCTCACACCTATAATTCTAGCACTTTGGGAGGCTGAGGCAGGTGAATCACTGGAGTTCAGGGGTTCAAGACCAGTCTGACCAACATGATGAAACCCCATCTCCACTAAAAATACAAAATTAGCAGGGTGTGGTGGTGCACACCTGTAATCTCAGCTACTTGGGAGGCTAGGATAGGTGAATCACTTGAACTCGGGAGGCGGAGGTTGCAGCGAGCTGAGATCATGCCATTGCACTCCAGCCTGGGTGACCGAGTGAGACTCCATTCTCGAAAACACAAAACAAAACAAAAACAGAAAAATCTGTAAGGTGGAGGATGTAGTTAGTACCAATGAATCAAATATTAAAACTTCTCTGAGAACAATACATGGAAGAGTTGTATGTTTGCCTTGGATTCATAATAAATTTTGCTACTCCAGTTATGAGGGATATGTAACTTGCTACATATTTACAAACAATGGGCAAATGTTAAATACACAAATTGATAGGATTTTTGTTTGGTTTGGTTTGGTTTAAGATGGAGTCTCGCTCTGTCACCCAGGCTGGAGTGCTGTGGTGTGATCTCAGCTCGCTGCAACCTCCACTTCCCTGGTTCATGAAATTCCCCTGCCTCAGCCTTCTGAGCAGCTGGGATTACAGGCACCCGCCACCACGCCTGGATAATTTTTTTGTATTTTTAGTAGAGACGGGGTTTCACTGTGTTGGCCAGGCTGGTCTCGAACTCCTGACCTCAGGCAGTTTGCCTGAGTGCTAGGATTATAGGCATGAGCCACCGTGCCCAGCACAAATTGATAGGATTTTTAAAGAAACCACATATAGGACTGCTGCCAATGTCAATAATTAAAAATAATTAAATTATGTCTAAGAAATCAAAGGGAAAGATTGTTCATATAGAGGGCTTACGTTCAGCTATGGGAAACAACTACCCACACTGAATAATTTCCTTAAGAATTATAAGTGGTCTCAGGTTTAACTGTAGACTGTAGACTGAGGTTTTCACATCTGGTAACAGAGTATGGCAATTCAGGAAATTATTAAATAATCAGTGTATTGTAATTCATTTATCCAATATTCCTTTTGATATTTTGAGGCACAAAGTTGGATGTATCTTTATGTTCATACTGGTTGATTTACCTCAAATGCTTTGTGGGATGAAGCAGGAAGGAGTTTTAGAGTGGGAAGGGAAGGAGAGAGAGGAGGAAGGAAGAAAAGTGAAACCAAGTACAAAGCAATAAATTGAGCCTTAACAGAAAAGTAAAACCAAGTGCAAAGCAATAAATTGAGCCTTACCAGAAAAGTCCGATATTAGTTTATAAGAACTAATGAGAGAAAATAACTGTGAGAGAATCAGATGAATTACTTGGCACTTGGACTGAGTCTTTTTGAAAACAATCCAACAGTCCATGAACTATGTTATTAGAATAAATAAGTGACTTTCTATAAATAATAATTTAGATTCTCTTATTCCCTTTTATCAAATGCTGACTAATGAGCACAGGTGATTCCTCAAGATTACTCAAATGATCTGATCCAGGATTCCTTCATCCTGAGCATTATTTCACACCTGTGGCTAGTTTCTCTGCTACAGAGTAGACAGATAACTTCTGAGGTAACTGATCTTGACTCTACCTATGCTTCACCTCTAAAACCCTTTGAGAATGCTTGTGAAAGATGTACCAGGAGAATACTTTATTCTTGCTTTAATTCCTACTGCTCAAGCAAAACTAGTACCTGTTATTAACATGCCTTTTAACTTGATAATATCATGTTCGTCTACAAATCCTTAACTGATTCTCTAAGATAGAATTGCCCAGCTTTGAATCCTCAAGACCCTTGCCACTTTGATTCCCACGGGGATTTCTCTGACTTCTGTTAGTAGTAATTACAAGTGTCCAAAGGGACTATGACTTGCCTTGGTACCTCTTATAATATACATGCTTTACTTTTTTAACTGTAGATATATTGAATCAGTGCCTTTCATCTTGAGTTGAACTTTAGATCATTTACGGGCAAGGATGAGAACCTCTACACCCTTTACAATAAACTTTGCTTCAGCAGTAAGGTCCTGTGTTACCCAAGATATTTCTAGACTCTCTGGAATATATTATTATGGTATTAGGAGTTGCTAATGGTGTCTAGGTCTGCAGGCCACTCTTGATTAAGCATGTGATATACCATTTGAAATGATTTAGGACACTAGCTAATCACTATAATTTGTAATAATTCTAAGCCCCTTTATGTAAGAAATGCATGTCCCTTTCAAACTCACAGCTCCTACCCTAATGTTTAGCTTATAGGATTGATTCAAGAACTTTTTTGGTGAATGAGCAAATATTTTTTAAACAAAATGAAAACTGTGATAGAATGGAGCAATTCTATATTTAAGTAGACTTCTTCAAACTTTTAAAGTTTAGAATTTGAAAGAAATTAGAAATATCACTTTTTGGGTGAACTCTGTTTGATGATAATTCTTAATCTTTTAAAATTGGCATTGTCTTATGTGTCCCTTAATTTTTAACTGTATTCTGTGCTATGTGAAGGTGTGAATTAAATCATATTTCTCTCCTACATCCAATATCTCTTAAATCCCAATTTTGTTTCTCTTCATCTGAACTCTTAGAGTACTTATTTGACTCCAATCATATTCAGCCTGAATTTCTTGTTAACTTTTTATATGTTCATATGGCATATAAGAAGGTAAATCATAAGCTGGATAATTTGTGTGAATTTTTACACAATAGGCACTTAACGAATAGTGCTTTATTGAAATTAAAAATAAAACTGAGATTTATTAATGGAAAAAAAATTGAGATAAATGGCCCATTTTGCAGATGACCAAACTGACACCCAGTTTCTTTAATGACTCTGTCAGGGTCAAGCTACTAGTTATGGACATAGCCCAGAATTCAATCCAATTCGGAGATCTATCCAAGAAGAAATATTTTAGTATGGTTGTCATTAGATTTTTAGTTAGTACTCAATTTTAATGTGTCATTAAACAAATTTTTAATAAATGAATCAATTGAAATTGGAAAATAGACTTTTGGTTCCAAAAGGCTACAAATAACATAGTAATTTAGCGTCAAGCTCAAATATGATAGACATATAATTAAAATGATTGAAAATAAACTCATCCCTCCAATTATTTTTTTCCAAGTACAATTGCACTCTCATCCTTCTAGGCACAGAGAGCAAGTTATCTACCCCAGTTTCATTCAGGTATTTCTCCTTCTAGAACACTTCTAGGACACTTCTCCAAGGGAGGAGAGTATGGCCTAGCAGTTGGTGGTGTATCTTAAGCAAAAAGAAAAAAAAACACTAGATATTGTTCAATCTGTTAGCAGTGTGTTGCTTAGAAAAATGAACGTTAATGTTAAATGGTAACTGTAACTAAATCTAACTTGAAGGTTCAGTTGTTCATGCGCTTCATGATATACACAAGGTATTATGTAAGGTGTTTTCACAGGGATCATAAACTTAAATAACCTCTGGGTCCAGGTGGTATAAGCCAGACTTTAAGACAAAAGGAAGTAACAAGGACTGTGGTAGACCAAAGAAGACGTATTTACCTTTAAGATATTTCAAAATAGGCCCGGTGCCATGGCTCACGCCTGTAATCCCAGCACTTTTGGAGGCCAAGGTGGGCACATCATCTGAGGTCAGGAGTTTAAGATCAGCCTGACCAAATGGTGAAATCCCATCTCTACCAAAGATACAAAAAAAATAGCCAGGCGTGGTGGTAGGTATCTGTAATCCCAGCTACTCCGGAGGCTAAGGCAGGAGAATTGCTTAAACCAGGAGGCAGAGGTTGCAGTGAGCTAAGATTGCACCACTACACAGCCTGGGCCACAGAGCGAGACTCTGTCTCAAAAGAAAAAAGAAAAAAAAGATATTTCAAAATAACTCTCATTAGTCAATATGAATTTGGATCCCAAGGGGAACCAGTTTTCCCTTTCTGATATGAAAGTATCAGATAATAAAGCAAAATTTCAAAAAACTTGTTATTTTGATAAAGCTAACATCATCTTTTTTAAAGTTCATTTAAAAAACTTCTATGCTGCTGTTGTTATTTCAGATAGATATGTATGGTTCATGACAGTCTACATAGTTTCTTATATTTAACTAATGAAAAATATTCATTGGTCAAGCAATTAGCAACTGTGATATCGTTTTGATGTCATTTTAACAAAAGAAGTATACTAGTAGTGGTAGTAATTGTAATATTGTTAATAAGAGTACATAATTTTAGGTTTGTATTTACATATAAACCTCAATGTACAAAAAATGAAATTCTTGTAATTCTTATGCTCCAGTAATTAGTGCTATAGATGGATAAATATATAACATTGTCAAGTCAGAAAAATCAAAATGTTAAAAAGAATGACCACTAAATTCAAGTATTCTCATCTCTATGTAAATTCTTACATTCAGGCAACTGAGTTCAAAAGTAAAGAAACATTGGTATTGTTAATTATATTTTATTAGGTTATATAATTAAAAGACCAATTATACATCAATATGAAATTAGATCAGATTCCTGTCCATAAATTTTCAATATAATTTAATCCAATGAATCTAAATGTGGAAGAGAAATGACAAAACCACTTATGAAAACACAAAGTTTCTCTAGTAAAACAAAATGTATTGGCAATTTTGTTGTCTGTTGTAGAAGCCTTCTATTTAATATAAATGGGATCAATAGTCAATCAGCTAATACACCCAGATTTTAAAATAAATTAATCTTAAAAATGAATACATACAACCTACATTTTACTTGATTATGTATTCATTTGCCAATAATTTTATGTAAACAGAACTTTTTTTGGTTTAGATTATTGATTACAAATTATAGTCATCCTCCCTTTCAGTAAATCCTATAATGCATCATCTATGATTTCTAATTTTTGGTGTCTTCATGAACATCTTTAAGTTCAAATCCAATGCTAAGAAATCTAAGAGCAGAATTCTACTTTCTCTCATTTTTTCTAAGCTTCTGAAATTGTCTTTCCTATATGTTATTCTATAGCATTATACGTTTTGCTAAGTGACTGAAATTTATTAATTCTTTCTTCAATATTCAACTTGGAGGTATAGAACATTTCTCAATTTTTTACAATTATATTTCAATTTGGTTATGTGATATTTAATTAAAAGATGTAATTTAATATATGCAAAACTGGCATACACTGGTTTGGGAGCAAACATAATGAATTCCAGGGAAGCATATAAATCACTTGGTGGAAGCAGACGTATTCTTGGGTGTTCTAGAAATCTTGATGGTGCTGGAAATGTTCTCTCTGCACTGTCAAAACAGTAGCCACTGGTCACATAAAGCTATTGAGCACTCGGAGTATGTCTAGTGTGACTGAAAAAATGAATTTTACATCTTAGTTAATTTTAGTCCACTCAAATTTAAATAGCTACATGAGATTTGTAGCTAAGGTAGTAGGCTGTGCAGTTCTAGAGAGTAGCTCACTTGCATTTAGTGTTTGCTGCTGTGGCATCTGTTAAAAATATCAGATAATCTGTGAAGTGGCTAATGGTTAAGAATACTACCCTAGTTGAATTAAGATAGACTTAGGAAATGCGGGTTGATTTGGAATGTGTTTGTTTTGCTCTGTTTTGTTTTATTATCTTTTATCTTTGTCTATTTTGTTTCTATTTGAGTCTAAATTTAATTTTGAGGAATTTTTAAAACTTTATTCAAAATACAGAAGCCAATGAGTGAAGCAGTAAACACTACAGAGGTTTATAGCTCTTTCTTTAGCATTCAATACAACAGAAAGTAATGACATTCCTTCTCACATTGGCCAAAAAAAATGTTTTTAATTCAGGATAGTAGATCCATAGGCGCCATAGGCTGAATTTGTTGAGTCTTTAGAACTTTTGCTATGTTTATATTAATAGTTTAAATATATGTGAATGTGCTCGTATTTCTAAGAAAAACCCAGGCTGTTGTAAGATTTTCAAAGAAGTATGTCTTTGAAATAATTTCCTCAAAAAGTTAATGATAACTGCATGAAGTTATTGTCTAACATTTTTTGAGGTGCCTGAATTTAATTTAGTAGTGAACTGTGATAGATTCAAAAGCCTTCATTTATAAATATTATAAATCTATCAGTCCATCTATATTTTAAATTATATAATTTATACGTTATTAAATTTGTAAGAAATTTAGATATTGCACAATATATAATTTATATGTAATTTAATAATATATTCATAATTTAATTACTTAACTAAACCTGGAACAATGTTGACATAAGAAAAAGGGTAGCTTAATTCTTCAGAAGAACAAATTAAATTGGATAGGTAAGATCACTGTCATGTTAAGTTTGAACACTTAACTCTAAAGTACTGGACATATCATAAAAATATAGACTGAAGCCAGGCATGATGGCGTGTGCCTATAATCTCAGCTACTCAAGAGGCAGAGGCAACAGGATTGTTTGCATTCAGGAATTTGAGGGTGTTGTGAGTTGTCATCTTCAACGTGGGTGATGGAGGGAGAGCCCATCTCTAAATAAAATAAAATAGATTGAACCATCTCTCTGTTTTACAATATAAGTACATTTACTTTTTAATAATGAACGAGAGGGTTATTAAAGAGGTGCATTTTGTGTGTTTTATGTAACATAAAAAGATAGTCACCAGTTTCATGTTCAATGAGAGAACTCGCCTCACATGAAAACATTGGGAAAATTAGAAAATCGTACTTTTATATGTTTTTAAAATAAAATATTTGTTCCAATTTATTTTTATGTTTCCCTTTTTAACTACAGTTGATCCTTGAACATCACAGGAATTAGGGGTCCTCACCCCCGAGGTAGTTGAAAATCTGGGTATATCTTTTGACTCCTCAAAAACTTAAATACTAATAGCCTACTGTTGACCAGAAGTCTTACTGATAACGTAAACAGTTTATTAACACATATTTTGTAAGTTATATCTATTATACACCATATTCTTACTATACAGTATTCTTAAGAAGAGGAAATGTTATTAAGCAAATTATACGAGAAAATATTCCACTGCTTATTAAGTAAAAATAGGTAATCATAAAAGCCTTCATCTTAATTGTCTTCAAGTTGACTAAGCCAAGGAGGAGGAGGAAGAGGAGGAACTGGTCTTGTTGCCTCGGGTGGTAGAGGTGAAAGCAGAGGCAGAAGACGCAGGCACACTCGGTGTAAGCTTCACTGAAAAAAATTCACATGTAAGTGAACTTGTACAATTCCAACCTGTATTGTTCAAGAGTCAACTGTAGCATTTTTGTAATCTATCAACTACCAATTCCAAAGACATCAAGTAGGATGGCTTCTACTGTAATAGTATTAGTCTTTTTATAAAAGTGAGAAAACCATGTTCGGGGAGTTATACCTGTGAATTCCTTACAACCACATGAAAGGTAAAACCCAGGGCTCAAGCAGGTGTATCTTATTCCAAGGGATTTGATTTCAACTATTTTTTTTATAATGTCTCCTGTGACAGAGGATTCGAAACTTGAAAGCAGTAGTATCCACAGTAAAAATTTGCAAGTAACAATTTTCTCTGTTTTATTTAAAATGAATGTGCAGCCTCCCTAGTCCAACTAGCTAGCCTTTCCTGTGCTTTCAGAGACCTTTGCTAGACCAGTATTACAATTTGGAGATCCATACAATGAAAGTTGGATGAGCCGTTTTCTGTTTCTGAGTTTTTAAATTATAGAATAGCTGTTTTTTGTTTCTGACGAGTTTTTAAATTATAGAATACTAAACCTAACCTATCTAAAATGCAAATATATTTGCTTCTAACTTAAAAAAATGTGTAATATCACTCAGTCTTTTAACTTGATTATTTCCATTTTAAAAATTCTAAGTATTTCAAATCATAGAGCAATAAACTTTACTTCACAGACTACTTGAGATTAACTGACTAATATTTGAGAAGATCTAAATAACCCAGTTTTTTACATAATATAGGGGCCCAGGGAAGACTCTGTTTTTCCTTTTCCCACTTCTAAGGATTAAAAATAATTTGACCTTAACTTATTGTTTTCCTCCCTGCTCTAGGTTTTAAGACCTTTTAGAACAGTGACCCTCAACCGGGCATGAATGGGAGAGGAGTATGAGGCAGGAGGTGGGTGTGGTTGAGCGAGTCTTAGACTTTACCTCTGCCTGGGCACCCATCTCAGTAAGAATCCATTCTGTGATACAATTTCAGAGGCATAGGAAAGGCCACCCTTCCTTCAGAATAGCTTGGTCTTATACTGCACATTTATCTTAGAGCACAATGATTGACTATCCCTTGTTCTCCAGTAATATAGTGACTGAACGCCACCCTGGAGTCAGGATCTCCTAGTTTATAGAGAGTCTGGATCTACAACGACTATAACAGCTGACCCTTTTCTCAGTGGTTTGTGATCTTTATCTCTAAAATGAGAATTATAACACGAATGTTGCAAGACTTTTGAGAGAATTAAAAGATTATATGCACATAACATTTAGCAACCATGATGGTTAGCAGGTAATAGGAGTTGAATAAAAGGTAATTATTATCATTAGACATATTAAATGATGCAGTGTATTGTTTACTTGCCAGAAGTCCTGCATGCTCAGTGCTACAGAATTTATATAGGCAGAGCCAATCAATGGAAATGTTGGGAGGTGTTTTTTTTATTTTGTTTTGTTTTGTTTTGTTTTCTGACTGTCCTCTTGTCTTCAAAACATCATGGCACTGCTGCTGGATTTGCCGGACTGAATAGGCCACACTCCAGATATTCTTTTCATTGTCAGGTCATGATAAATAATAAGTCTTACCTTTTCCTTCTGAATTTACAATCTCTCTTCATTAGTTTGAAGTTAATTCTTTTCTTTTTTGTATCATGCTTATTTTGCAGACATGAACAATCTTGTCACTACTGTATATATGCAAATAAAGTAAAATGATAAATTGCTTAAGTGTCTCTGTTTTTCTATCTGTAGAATAGGGGTCATAATCCCTTCCTGTCGCACTTTTCCAGACTGTTGAGAAAATAAAAGAGCATCAGTATTCTCATAAATAGAAAATTAAGCCATTTAGACTTATGTACAGGAAGTTTGATAAGTAGACTTCAAGAGAAGAAGTGGCAAAGTATTCTTTAATTGTTGCTATCCTAAGAAAAAGCTGTCTCTCTTGATCTTTTAATACCTCTCTTTGTCTTTCTTTCCCTCTCTGTCTACCTGCATCTGTTCTGTGTGCCTAGATCCTGTTTATATTTTCTCTCCTTAACTTTCTGCATGACTGTTTTCATGTATGCATGTAAATTCTTTTTTCATGTCTAGGCAAGTGCCAAAGTAACATTGTATTTGATACATAAATTAATTTTTAATTAAATTAATGAAGCAGCTAGAGAAATGTAGATTTTAGTTCACATGAAACTGAAGGGTACTAGCTACATCGTAATTAACATATTAATGGTTTGTCAAGCTTGGTCATCATCTTGGTCAGGGGATGCCGTAGGAGCTAGATCAGTCCTGTAATTTCTTTCTGTTTTTTTAAAATAAAGCCAATTATTTCCATATGAGCTAGGTATGCACTCCATACCTGTTTGATAAGATTGATTACATTAGACATTTCTCACAGAAAAATGAGTCTATGTTTCATATTTAATTTTCACTTGGTAGAAATTAAGTTCAGTGTGCCATACTGGTCCAGTGAGAGCACATTCAGTAATTTTATTGTAACCAATTTTCACTTTAGATAGTGGCCAGGAGGTATTTGAACTGGGTTATGAGTTTGTGGGGTTTTAAACATGGTTCTTTTTCCCTTTTCCCTTGGCTGGATAGTGTATTAGTATGTCCAATATGTCATGTTGTTTTTACTGCTTATCTGAAAATCAAATTTGAACATCTTATATTTTTATTTGGCGACTTTATTTAGGTAGCATTTTCCATAATGAAGTGCCTTATTCCTATTTCTCTGTATATTTCCCCTCACATTAAGTAAAAGGAATGGAAGCTAACTAGAATAAAATTTATGTATGAAATATCAGTGGGAAAATACAAAATTAATATAACAATTTATATTAAATTAATAGAAAATCAGAGAAAAGCCTTTCTTCTAAACATTAGATTCATGTAAAATTTGTATTTGACTATATTCATATGATTAAACAAAATGGTTTAGCAAATGTCATTTAATAAACAAAAGCCAGTTTACAACATCATCATAAACGTTAGGAGATTAAAATTTGTTACGGTGTCTAAGCCACATTTCCAGTTGGTTTCTGTGATATTCTTTCTTTTTTTTTTTTTTTTTGAGGTGAGAGCTTACTGTATCACCGAGGCTGGAGTGCAGTGGCACAGTCTTGGCTCACTGCAACCTCCGTCCCAGGTTCAACCGATTCTCCTGTCTCAGCCTCCGAAGTAGCTGGGATTACAGGCACACGCTGCCACACTCAGCTATGTTTTTTTGTATTTTAGTAGAGACGAGGTTTCCCCATGTTGCCCTGGCTGGTCTCAAACTCCTGAGCTCAGCCAATCCACCCTCCTCGGCCTCCCAAAGTGTTAGGATTACAGGTGTGAGCCACCGCATCCAGCCTTCTGTGATATTCTCAGTGGCCTTTGTATTAATTACTACAGAGTATTTTTTGGTGCAAGTTCTGGAGAGAACGTTTTCTAAGAAATTAACATCCTGATTAAAGGAATTTCACTCTTCAGTTAATAGAAAGCATCATTTGTTTCTCACATGATCTGTTGCTATTAGCTCCTTTAAAATCTTTGCTAGCTTTTTAAACATCAGTTGCTATAAAAAGATAAATCTTATGCACGTTACTTGTGCTGTGTGTTTGCCCCAGATTTAAGTAAATGTTTTACATGGCACCTAGAGATCTGTGATAACAGCGCCCTGGCTGTGTTCCCGCACGTCACAATCTAACCCCTTCCTCTATCCCTATCTCTTCCTTCCTGACCATCCTAACCATCCCCAGCTCAGTGGCTTTCTTCATTTCCTGTTTTGCTCATATCCTCACCAGAGCCAAGCTCTCCAGCCAGGTCTTCTCCCTACATTCATCGGCTCCCCCACCACCACCAGTTCCCTCCTATTTTTGCAGCCTGAGCAGAGAATAACAAACCCAGAAGCTTTCATAGTGTCACCCAAAGTCACACTATGCACACATGTGCTTGACCACATATTCACACATAATGAATTTTTTAATTGAATTAGGGAATTGTTATGTAAATTTGGCACCATTTCTCTCATTTTATATGGATGGACATAAGCACTTAAAGATTAAGAGGTTACCATCAAAGTTGCATGCTCACAACTCAAGGCAGGAACCCAAGTGCTGCCATCAAATCAAGTTTTTGAGACTTAAGTTCTTCCTCTGTAATATAGGATCATATGGTCCCAGCATTAAACTAGAGCTTAAAATACCTACTGAACTGCTTATAGTGGGATTTCAGAAAATGTTTCTTCCCTGCAGTTTTCACTAAAGTGAAGATGATATGTGAGAGACAATTTGTGAGACCTAATTCTGGTTGAGGCTAAGAATTCCATTCGTTTCCCAGTCACTGACAAGTTCATTTAACTCTTTTTGCGCTTGGACATATTTATTTTTTACACAAGAATGTTCTGTGATTATATGATTCTATCATATTTTCAGTTTAAAATTTGACCTAATAATTAGCATATAGCAAGTCAAGAATCTTCAGATAATGAATATATGAGAAAATGGTGGTATCCAGTGCTTTATTAAAATAATACAAAATACATTATTTTCCAGTTGTTTCATGACACATTTGAGAGTGACATAGGTACTTTATTGTTTCTATCGATATTTTAAAGTAAATTCTAGGACATTTTTAAGTAATTGGATTTTGTAAAATTATCCCACATATCTAAGTTACATTTTTTACACTGTTGCAGCACAGTACTTCCCTTCGATCCTCATTTGCGCCTCTGGCTTTCTTTAGTCTTCTTAAGCAATTCCCCCCCGCCCCTCTCTCTGTCTCTCTCTGTCTCTGTCTCTCTCTGTCTCTCTCTCTCTCTCTCTCTCTCTCTCTCTCTCTCTCTCTCTCTCTCTCTCTGTCTCTCTCTCGACTGCTCTAGTCACAGAATAGTATGTATTCTGTAAAGGTTTTATAACTTGCCTACCTACACCAATAAAGTTTAAATTCCTCTGCAGAAGAGTAAGGAACTTGAAATCTGCTTCCACTGCACCAACATGAAATCATATCAGGCTGTCCCTTCATCTCCTGAGTCCACCATTTCCCAGCCCCTACCAGTACAGCATTACTTTATATTTCACTCACAATGAGGTTCCATGCACCAGTGTAGCACATGAGCAGTGGTGTGTAGTGGAAGGCAAGAAGGTTCATTAGGTGTAGGCTTTGAAATGAGGCAAAGAGATCCCAAATGTAGCTCTATCATTCTGTGGCTACGGGGCTGTCTCTGTCCCTATAAACCTCATTATTTTACCTATAAGTAAGATAATAACACAACATAGAGCTCCCATTAGGATTAAATGATATAACATATTTTAAATTATGGTATAAATTGTTCGGTACAGGGAAGGCAGTAAGTGTTATCGTGATACAATAAAGATGTACAGGAAAGTTTTTGCTTTCTTTTGATTATTCTGTCTAAAAAGTTTTGAATTATTTTCATTTCTGGCAAAATTGTATAATCTTTAAAATCTGCTAACCTTTATATTCACATTAAAATGTTATTAATAATAATCATGTTGCATGCCACTCTCTTACTTCTTAATTGACATTGTATCTTTTCTTATTCTAACTTTTCTCCAGATTGACACTAAGAAATAGTCATAGGTAATTAGGATGAAAAAGAATTTGTCAGTCATTTAGTCCAATTTTCTCATCTAATAATTTATAAAACTGAAATTCACACTCATCAAACTCATTGATAACTAACATATTTTTGTGAGATGGTTTGTATAGTATCTGCCCTCAGAGTAGTCTGTCAGTTTGCAAAAAGTAGCAAACTGTGTCTGTCTGATTGGCTTAGTATCAACAATGATTGATATACGGTGAATTCTCAGTGGTAGATATTTCTGGAAAAAAAAATGTTGTGGAACTACTTGTGAGCAGACTTCTGAATGGTTGGCCAGTGCTCTTTGTGCTATACCACGTTTCTTTTCACTCAAACTTCATCTTATTTTGTAGATTCACTTATTTAAAAAAGCTTTTTATGCATCCTGGAGTAGCCCTCATAAAACTGATCTTTCTAAGATCCAGGGATGCTCCTGGTTGTATAATGTGATCATGTGTGTTTGGAATTCTAATGATGCATACCCCTAGAGACAGACCAAGGAGAAAAACTAAAGCTGAAGCAGTAATTTATTTATTTCTTCATTTATTTACTTTTTCCTGGCTAAGAAGATCTACACATGTGGATCTTCTATCCTCGGCATCAAATTCAGTGGTCCTTTCTTGTGTCTCACAATTCATTGCTTCAACCTTAATTTCACAGCAGTGCCAATTTTGTGTTAACCTTGGCTGTCTGCAGACTACTTTCATTCTTGTTGCTTTATTTCTACTCTATAATAACTGATAGAGAAGCAGAAAAGTTTACGTTTCATAAAAAAGACTTATGTTTTATAAATGAGGGAACTAAAACATCATCTAAATTCAGATACCCACTCTGCCATCATACTGTTTTTATGCTGTACACTTTTCCTTCACTGGGTTGGAGCTGCCTTAGAACTGTGGTTGAGCTAAGGATGCAGTAGCTCCCACCTGTAATCCCAGCACTTTGGGAGACCAAGGCAGGTGGATAGCTTGAAGTCAGGAGTTTGAGACCAGCATGGGCAACATGGCAAAACCCTGTCTAATAAAAATGCAAAAATTAGCTGGGCTTGGTGGTAAGCAAATGTGTTCTCTTTCCAGGTCCATGAGGGGCCGTAGTTTTAAGGACAAGAATTTCCCAGTGCCATACCCCCTCCCATCTCTCTCCATCAGGGAGTTTTAACAGTTTATGTTTAAATTTCACGGGTGAGGGAAGAAACTAAAAGTCACTCCAGCGGAAGTTCTAAGGAACTCCTTTCATTGGCCAGAAGAACTTGGTAAGGTGGGAATTTTTCCCAGGATAAATACCCCTGCTCCTTCTCCCACGCCAGATTTCCAGCTTTCTGGAATCCCCTCCACATGGTGGGAGCTCCCTTTCCCCTCTGAGATTTCCCCCTCTGAAATCCCCTTCCACATTCTTTGTGGAAGTCTTTCTCTTTTCTCCTTTCCTTCTCTTTTCTGTACCTAAATAAAATCACCTTTCTGCAATACTTCTTGGGTCCGATATTTACTTTCATGAACATAGGATGCACCTTCAGTGGTCTCATCGCTTATTCTTTAAGAGGTTGGAGACCAAGAACCCACAGCATTCTCTCGGGGGAGCTGTGCCTCACCAGCACCCAAGAGAAAACCTGGTAACAGTGGTGCATGCCTGTAGTCCCAACTACTCAGGAGGCTGAGGCAGGAGAAACGCTTGAACCCAAGAGGCAGAGATTGCAGTGAGCCAATATTTGCCACTGCCCTCTAGCCTGGGTGACAGAGCAAGACTCTGTCTCAAAAAAAAAAAAAAAAAAGAGAAAAAAAAGAAATGTGGACCTCAGTTTGGTAATCTGGAAAATGGGCCAGATGATCTCTAAGGTTAATAAGTATTTATTTATATTCTACCAGAAATACAAAAACTTAGCTGGGTGTGGTGGCATACATCTGTGGTCATAGCTACTCAGGAGGCTGAGTGGGGAGTATGGCTTGAGCCCAAGAGGTGGGTGTTGTAGTGACCCGAGATCATGCTATTGCACTCCAACCTGGACCTGTCTATTGCACTCCAGCAAGACCCTGTCCCCCCACCCCCCATCCAAAAAAAGAAAAAACTATAGCTGAGATATTCTGCAACACTGAGAGAAATCTAACCTTTCTCCCCATAAGTTCTAGCAAAGTTCCTAGAGCAGCCTTGGGCTATAGGACCATTGAATTTCCATGCTAAAGTGCCTCCCACGCAGCCCCATGGAGTCCTGAAATTAAACAGGTGGCTAGTTCAAATTGTGGTTTAGGGATGCAAAGTCTGTGTTTAGTAACTAGCACTTGAACCTGGCAATAACCTTCAATGAGTATCTCATTTTCCTGCTCCTGAGAGAGAAAAAAATCAACAAATATAGACTGAGTGTGCTCTAGTGTCAGATTGTCGGAGTTCGAATTACTTGTTGGGTGTATGGCCTTAAATAAGTTCTTTCATTTCTCTGTACCTCTGATGCTTCACCTGCAAAGCAGTGTCAACCTCAAAGCTGGAAAAAATAAATGAAATAATAAATGTAATAGTACAGAGCCTGACTCACAGTAGTGCTCCATAGATATTAGCTCCTAATCATTATTATTCATTACTTTGTGAAAATCAAGTTGCAATTTCATCTAATCTGAGTTGCTCACATGCATATTTTTCTTTATGCTAAAAAAAATTCTTTACAAACAAGAAATAAATGGGGTAGAATTTACTTTCTTCATTTATAATTAGATGATTTCAGTTAATCTGATTTTCAGCAAAACCATCTTTATCAGTTTGACCATGTTGGAAACTGAACACACTCAAATGGCATTATTGGCACCACATTGGAAATGTATATAACCTTATGTTGAAAGTTCAATTACAAGTGTAATTCTGTCTTGACGTTTGCTTGAAATTCATCTCTTTTGGGTTATATGTTAATAATGAAGGGCAGAAATTTGCTATAGGCATTTACATTTGATTCAGACACAGGTTTATATTGTTTGCCTGTAATATATTTAACATTCCAAAACTGCTTTCTGATTTATCTTATCTACCTTAAAACTTACAGTTATTAATCGTTCTCATTTTTCCATTAAAGCTAGCATACTGCAAAGCAGGATATTAATATACTCTATAAGTTGTAGAATTTCTTAATGTCTATCTCTACCATTGGATGAGGCGTCATAGTCCCCTTCTCCTTAAGAAAGTAGAAAATATTCTATGCCAGTAGTTGTCAGTAAAAAAGGGTATGTGTCCCTAAATTTTATTTTATATGAATATTAATATTCCTTATATGGCCATCATTTTTAGTGTTTCATTTTCCAAATGCACTTTCTAAAAACATGTAAAATTATGGTCCATTACTAACACTAATGGATAATTTTGCGACTGAATTCTGCACCAAAAACGATTATTTGCTGTGTGAGGACAGACTTGCAAAACAAGATGTGGTAGCATTTAAATGGCCACTTATTTTTAGTAGAAGACTGCCCTGACTGTGGTCTAAAACTTCGATTTCCATTTCATGGTATCATTATCTTCAGACCCAGATGGGCATCTCTTGCACTTAAGGAGCATGAGGGAAACCAATTTGATTAAAATTGGCTGTTTCGTATCTTTAGGAAATTTGGAGATGGAAAAATAATAATTTGTGTAATAAATGTATGATCTGCAGCCATGTTCGTCCTCCAAGGTAATTAGCAATTCTGTATTTTCAGGAACCAGGAAGGCAACAGACTTTTCCACGGGATGCTCTTTTTGTAGAAAATTGTGGGTATAATACTTGATGGGTCAAACTGAACAAAGTAAACTGTTTGATTTATGGTGTGAATATTATGAGAATTATTCTGTAATTCATTTCTTCCCATCAATTCATAGGATCGATCTTTTAAGCATATTTTGCAATCAAAATTTCTAAAAGACGCCTAAGGATCTTATACTGTAACAACATCATCATTCTTTCTATATTATTTTCATGCAATATACTGCATTTCTGGATCCATTAAAGTTATTTTAAAAATTTCTTCTTCTATTAATGTTGCCACAGTCTTTTTCAAACATTTATGAAGTCAGCAATGATTCAGTAAAACAGAAGTTAAATAGCACTGAAAGCATAAACAGTGCTCAAGGAGATTTGGATCTTTTTTTAAAAAAATTAAGATCTAGGATTTACCCATACTTAAATAAATTTTAAGTATTTATTTTTTTAACTAATCTCCACTGAAAGCTTCTTCAAGCACTGTTTGTATGTTGTTTAAAGTGTAAATGAATAGGATAATGAAAACAATTATTAAATAAAATAGAGGTTAAGTGACCTGCCTGCAGCCAAAGAGTTAGTTCACAGCTATGCCAAGAATCAGACTTAGATTTTCTGGTTTGCCCATGTTCTGTTCACTGCTCTTTTAAAGAAGTCAAGGTTTTAAGATAACTGACGTCAATACATAGTTCAGTATCTCTGTTTGTCAGCACAAAATACACTTCATGCTATTGTGGTGTTTAGATAAAATATACAAAATATAAATGCTAATGAGATGCCCAGTATGTAATGACTAACCACAAAAAGCAATACAATGTGACAAATATTTATTAAACTGCTAATTCTGTCAATATAAATATTTCTGAGGAGCATATTCTTTTCACCTTCAGAAAGCCATATAATCCCAGCAATTAGTGAGGGGTGAAACCAATCAATGGTAAAATACTTTCAGATTTTTAAAAACTAATTTAGTAATTGGCAGTATATTCAGGAATATTTTTAAGTTGGCCTTTTTGCACCACAAAGATTCAGTTCTGCTATTCTGTTGATAAAACATGTGCTAAATGATAGCAGTGATAAATAAGTCTAAGTTTGGAAATGTTTAGAAATGCAATTCCAGAAAGAAAACGTCCTAAATGATGGAAGAAAAAAATGAGTTAACTTAGATGTTTTTCTGTTCAATTTAGAAGATGAACCCTAGATTACAAAGCATTATTTGATGATCTCTGGAACAAGGATATGATATAAGGAAATTTTCCCTTACATACATTGCATCAGGCTCTTGCCCATCCCTCCAGGACCTTGCACTGCCTGTTCCATGGGTCTTAGATGTCAGGTTCTCCAAGAATCCTTCCCAGACTCCTGGTGTCTATGGGAGAGAAAATCCAATGTGCCCCTTACAGTCTGTACTTTGTCAGCCTTTGTCACAATGCAATCAGCACATCGAATGCTGTGACCTGTTTACCTGTCATCATTTCCCTGGACATCAACTTCCCAAGGACTGGAACTGGGTGTCTAGTGGTCTAGCTGGGTTTCATACACAGTAATCAACTCTGATTGAATGAAGGGATACTCAAGTTAATTAGGCCCCGTGCAATTCCCTATAGCTTAGAGTCACAGGCTTTCTTTTAAAGCTCTTTACTACACTTTATTTCACTCAGATGACAGATGAGGAAGCTGAAACTCAGGCAGGCTAAGAGGTCATACACTATAAATGGTGGAGTGAGGAAATCAAGCCCATTCTCTTTCCTTGCTTATTCTTTCATTCAACAGATTTATGCTGAGCATCCTCTATGTGTCAGACATTATGTCAAAGCTGAGAATCCAAAGATAAATAGGTTAAGATTTCCTGAAGCTCCCTGCCTTATCAGAGATAGACTATAAACAGTAATTATAATTCAATGTGATAAGGGCTTTGACAGAACCGTGTACTCTGTGCTGTAGAATTTCTAAAGAAGGAATCAATGTCTGTGCATATTAAATTGCTCCATTTTATTTTAATATTCTTTTAATACTATTTTATGTCTGACTGTTTAGTATATAACTACCCTCATGTAGAAGAAGGTAGGCAAAGGCCTATTTAAATGAAAGTTTAAATGTTGCAATATTATTTCTAAACTAATTAGTTTTCATGATTGTTCATATTGTACATTAATTCGAATATAAAACAGAAGTCTATATAAAGCCAAATCCACAATAGTTCTAAGTGACTTGCTTAGAAAAATTATTATTGTCATTTATATAACTTGAAATCCAAAGAAGATTCTCAGAAGAGTATGATCATAAGCACATTACCAGAATAGAGTGTAGAACTGGGGTAGGAGCACAATATGGCATGAAGATGGCTTAGGGTGAATCAGGAACTAGCAAGACCATTCTAGAAAGCAGCTGTGTGCCTGAGCTTTGATTGGAAGTTCATCTGCTGTTTTTAAAATCTTTTAAAGAATAGCTGGTTGGCTGGAAGAATAGATTTATTTTACTTTTCATAGTTTTTAAATTATTATTCTGACAAAATAAAAGCCAATGCAGATTATGGCATTTAATAATGGCTATTAAAAATATTTTACCAAATGAATAGAAACAAAATAATTGTCAATAAAAAACATAAGTCTATTTGCATTTCTTAATAATCACCAAGCTATTCAAACTGAGAGCAATCAGAAGCTCATAAAGAAAAAGCCATGAACCTACCGGGAAATTCGAGGGAGGGGTCTGGCTTTATCAATCTGTGTATCTCCAGTGCTAAGCACAATGGCTCATGCATGGTTGAAAGGCTTCAACCACAACAAGAAGACTCCCAACTTAATACTTCTTTTTTTTTTTTTTTTTTTTTTGGAGACAGAGTCTCTGTCACCTGGGCTGGAGTGCAGTGGCATGATCTTGGCTCACTGCAACTTCCAGCGCCCAGGTTGAAGCGATTCTCCTGTCTCACCCTCCCTGGTAGCTGGGATTGCAGGTATGCACAACCATGCTCAACTAATTTTTGCATTTTTAGTAGAGGCAGGGTTTGGCCATGTTGGCCAGGCTGGTCTTGAACTCCTGACTTCAAGTGATCTGCCCTCCTCGGCCTCCCAAAGTGCTGGGATTACAGGAATAAGCCAACATCCCAGGCCTATGACTTCAGTTTAAAAAATAAGTAAACAAACCAAAAATTGAATAGACATAAACCAAATGAGGATAAAAGAAAACTCTGCTTTAAAAGCCTAATTCCAAAAACCTAAGAGCAGCAAGTTATCAGTGATTAAAAGCTAGGAAGCATGCTGGGTGTTTAAAAGTAATAACTTCCCTACTAAAGCAGCCACACCAGTGAAAATGGGTAGAAGCCAGTAAGGAGGCATTCACCCCTTTCAAGCATCTGAGGAATGCACATTCAACACATTCCAAGCACACCTCCCCCGCTGCAGACTGACTGCTCAGGCCAGCGGCCTTTCACCTCTAGCCACATTGCGCAACAATTAGTAGGAAAACAAAAGAGATGACTTTCTGGATTTGTCACATTGCTTCACACTGGTGCCCCTTTCTCTTGTAATCAGGATAAAGTAAGTCGCTGCCAGGCACGGTGGCTCACACCTGTAATCCCAACACTTGGGATCCATGCACGCAGCAGGTGGATCACATGAGGCCAGGAGTTTGAGATCAGCCTGACCGACATAACGAAACCCCGACTCCATTAAAAATACAAAAATTAGCCGTGAGTGGTGGCGGGCACCTGTAATCCCAGCTACTCGGGAGGCTAAGGCAGGAGAATCACTTGAACCCGGGAAGCGGAGGTTGCAGTAGGCTGAGCTCACACCATTGCACCCCAGCCTGGGCAACAAGAGGGAAACTATCACACACACACACACACACACACACACACACACACACGTTGCAACCGCATTGTGAAAAGGGGAAATGTGTGAACCCAAAAGTTCTAATAAAGTAAGTGGAAGGGTCAGCAGAAAAAGAGGAAGTAGTTTATGTAGAACAGCTCCAGAATTTGCTAGATATTTTTTTTCTTCTGGTCATTTTTTAGAATTGTTCGCTTAAATTCCCACTTCCAATTTATTGTGCATATAGTCTCTTGGCTCAAGAATGGAGGAGAAGGTGTTTGACTCTAGAGAGACTAGAGTTAAACCTGTGGTTTAGTAAGGTGAGTTAGAGTTCATAAACAAAAAGCTCTGTGTTCATCAACCATCTGCTGGCTGCATGCAAATCAAGCCAGTCAGGAAACTCATCCCACCTTTGATAACCAGAAGCAAAGTGGACTAATTGTACTATGTCACTAGTTTTTACTATATAGATATCTGTGGATATTGCTCTAGAACATATATATAAATTACTTGCTCCCAATTCTTTTACATTTTATCAATATCAATTGTGTTTTGCTTAAAAACTGAGCCTCACATAACCAAAATTTCTACTTTAATAAAGCAAGTTAATTGTGGTGAAATCTAATTATCTGTTTACTGTGATTTCATTATAAATCTTGTCGGTTTTTTTTTTCCATTGTCCTTATGTATTAACACCTGTTGTAAGACATATTTGATTACAGTTTCATTAGACAGGCATACTGCTTCAGTATTGTTTGAAAAAAGTCGTTTTCAGCTTCATGTTCTAAGAGGAACCAAATATAACATTTACTTTTCATTTTGATCACATATTAACTTGAGGTCATAATTTTGCTTTTAACACTATCTGTTCTAAAGTATAGATATAGGAGGTATGGAAGTATGTGTTTGCCACAGAATAAACCCTGGATATATTTCCATCTTATAAAACCTGTCTTTATGTAAATATTTAAATAAAATGTTTTGTGATAAATGATTTTTATCATTGCTTATTATGTCATTTTCTATTAAAAGTGAATTTGATACTTAATGAACTCTAATTTTTAAGACGTTAAGTTCTAGTCCATTTTCCATATGATATAGGGTTAGTGAAGCAAATTAGTTTATGGGATCAAAAGCTACAAACAGGCTGGGTATGGTGGCTCATTCCTGTAACCCCTGCACTTTGGGAGGCCAAGGCAGGAGGATCACCTAAGGCCAGGAGTTTGAGACCAGCCTGTGCAATATAGCAAGATCTCTATCTCCATGAAAACAAAATAAGTAAAAAAAAAATTTAGAAATAGACCTTTTCCAAAATGTGTTTATTTCCTTATGCCATTCTGCCAATTAAAAATTGTCAGTTTCTGGATTTTACTTGGATGGTGATTTCTTAATACTAGAGGTACTTATTCTAGGCATTTGTGATTTTTATCATTCGCAGGTAGATTAACTCGTGTCTTGCCTTCATTAATAATTACAGAAGATAAGATACATTACAAAACAGTATCTCCAAAGAGAATTTATCTACCTCTGTGGGTCAGTGGGGGAACATCAAGAGTAAGGAGGGAGTATACCTGCAACATTCTGAATAAGATTTTGATGTTAATGTCAACGTGGCTTGTTAGTCTGATATGTCCCCTGTATGCCACTCAAGATGGTGCCTACTCCTTACCACTCATACTTACAATACGTTCCTCTTATGGGGTATGTATGGAGTGTGATGGCTTTTTAAAAAATAACAAATTGGGGAACTATTGTGAATATATATATATATATATATATATATATATATATATATATATGAAAATGTATTTTAACTGCTCTATATATAATTTAAATATAAAAAGTTATATATGTTTAAAATTGAAAGTTAAAAAGTGAATATAAAACTCTAAATAATAATATTTCAAGCCAGGTGTGGTGGCTCAAGCCTGTAATCCCAGCACTTTGGGAGGCCGAGGCTGGTGGATCATGAGGTCAAAAGATTGAGACCATCCTGGTCAACATGGTGAAACCCCATCTCTACTAAAAATACAAAAAATTAGCTGGGCATGGTGGCCTGTGCCTGTAATCCCAGTTACTCAGGAGGCTGAGGCAGGAGAATTGCCTGAACCCAGGAGGCGGAGATTGCAGTGAGCCGAGATCGCGCCATTGCACTCCAGCCTGGGTAACAAGAGCAAAACTCCATCTCAAAAAAAAATAATAATACAGTAATAATAATAATATTTCAACCTGAACTAAAACTGTGCCTATTGAACAGTGCATAAAATATTAAATCAATTAGTCAGAAAAGAGTTACTTGAGTAGTGAATTGCATCCTGCATTGTCAGCCAGTGATATTTATGGCCAAATACTTGGTAGACTAGATTCATAAAATGTATAATTTTAAAATCAACACTTTTCATCAAATAGAAGAGTTTGTTTTTAATTTGATTATAGATCCTACTTAATCATTGCTTTAGGTTCTTATCAATACACATTTTTTATTTAGAAAGTTCTTTTATAGAATATTGATGAGCAGATTTCTAGGATTTCTTTGTAATTGATTCTGAGGTTTTTGTCCATGTTAAATACTATGAGTCTGTAACTTCATAATATTCTCCAAAAAGCAGGTTTGTTACTTTTCTTTGTCTCAAAGAAAGCTTTAGAGACAGAATCTAGATCTTTTAAATTTGAAAGGCATTCGGCTTACTCAGTTACTTCCTCTAATGATTGACTACTGTTGTAAAACTTTAATATTTAAGAAGAAGAAAATTACGAATTGTATTGTAAAATAGTCAATTATAAGTAAAGATTTTGTGTGTGTGAAAATCTGGCAAATTTCATTCCATAATCCTTCAATCCAATTGAATGTGTACTAAAAAATCAAGTTTTACCTTGAACTATCAAGATTAATACAAGACTCCCATGTTTTTTCACATTTTCCTGGTCTTCAATGTTCTAAGGGATTTACTCTCAACATTTTTGATGTTCTCATTTTCTCACTGGCTGTAAAAATCACCAACCTTGTGCATCAATACTAGGAGCTCTTACTTAAAATGATTAATTATAACGTTTTCAACAGTGGACAGTAATGTTTTTTTCTTGGGGGGAAAAAACCTTCCTTATATATTTATGTGGTTCTCTTGCCTCTATAGTTGACTTAGATTAATTTCTTTGCTAATGTTCTTGTTCAGTTGGATAAAAGAAAGGCTTTAGGCTTTGTATTTCTTGAAAACCAAGAAAAGTAAGAAAATATCAAATTGTACCACTTCTTTCCTTGGGCAGTTGACCCATGTGTACACGTGCATGCATATCAATCCAATCTTTTGCAGTGAACTCAGTTTATACATGAGGTCTGTTTTTCAGTATTGTAGAAAGGTAACTAATCTTTTTGAAAATACCTTGTCGGCACCTAGTGTTCCAAAACATAGGTTGAATTGAGTGTGGGAATATCATATAGTATTGGAAGAAAAGTAATTAAAACATTTAGAAATTGTTTTGAAGAATGCATTGCTGCAAGGTGGCATAGCCATATAAACATGACACCACCATCTTATGGAATGTACAAAAAAGGGGTGTCTCTTGTGCCAAATAAACATTCTTCAATTAACGCTTCGCAATATGTAGTGTGAACTTTCCTAGTCTGTGTTTATCCATCCTGAAGCTGCTACTTTTAATGCCTCAAAAACTGTTGCCTGTATATATTCTCCTTCTGCTGGATCTTGGGATAAAAATCTGATTACAGGTACATTTTCTTCTTGAATCTGTCTAATAAGCTGAACTAAAACTAAATGAATACAAGAAAGCAAAGAAAGGTCTTCTTATGATGCATTAGCTGTGCCTATATAAATATAAGAATTGGTGAGGGCTACAAGAATAAACTGGCACAATAAACTATTTGTATTTGAACATATAACACTTACTTCAAATTCTGTAATTAATATAACTATATATGAAATGTTTTCCACTCAGGATATTTACAGTCATAGATTTTGAGAGGAAAAAGTTATTTCATTTTACTGTGAGGATCTGAATAGGCATTTTGACATTCATTATCTATTTGCAAGGAAATGACAGGTTCTCAAAATGAGACAGTCTTTGTTACCTGTCTCTTTTGAAAGACTTACTCTCATGTTGTTTATTTGTTTTTTCTGCATTCATCTTGCTTTTTGTTGAAATAATGCATATTCTTTTTAATTAGGTCTACTTATTTAAATAAAACTCCTTAATTGTGAATAATTATTAATCACCATATTTATATAACTAGATACAAAAATCGTTAAAAAGTTAATGTGCTTATAATTATAATGTTACTGTTCCTTACACTTACTATGCATTAATAGACATCCTGAAAAAGAGGAAATGCATATCTTAGAAGTGGCTTAAGTCATTTTGTGCCCTTCTTCTCAGGGATAGTCATATATTTTGGAGCAGCCAAAATTCACACCTCTTCACCAATGTACAGACCCAAAATGCCAGGTTAGTATGCATTAGTAGAAGGGCATATTTCCCTCACACTTTATTAATGAATCTCTTTCATGAATTTTTCTTTTCAAATGTCTGTAACTTTTATTATCTTTGCTTATATCAAATTCAGTTTCACTGGACTCCTTAGAATGCTATGATTCAAATAGTTTTTTGAAGCTCACATTTTAGGCTTTGTTCAATTCTACTTATAGTATTTATCACAATTAATTGTTATTCCATCTGCCTCTGAGCTACCTTTTACCTAATAGTCGCAGAGTTGAGCCCAGTCTCGTGCAGGAAGAACAGGGATATATTTGGCAGATAAACTGATTAGTGAGTCTACATCAAGTGATTGAGTCAGTGGTTCATACCAACATAGCTAGAGGGATGCTTTTTGAACTATAGGCAGCTGTCCTTCCTCTTGATACATATAGCTTTAATCATTTCCAGCATTTTCTTTTCTATTTACTATTTTCACCAAGGAGGAGAGGGCCTTATAATATTGGCCTTGTTATGTTAGCGTTCCATAGATAAATACCTTATTTAAATCATATGTAAATTACATCCATCCTTCAATAAAAATTTTCAAACTAGTAAGTCATCTCCTAATAATTTTTCAAAATTTAGGTTATTAATTTCAGATAAGGCTAATAGACAATGTTTTCTTTTTCCTATAACATTCTTAACCTAGAACCAAGTTTGTAACCAGATCTCAGGGTATAAGAATTTTCTTTCGTTATTGAAAATGTGATTAGTGTGACCTAAAGCTCCAACTTATTATTACATACATGGGACCCAAGCTAGCCAGTTTCTTCTTATTTAAGCTATCTTTCCTTAGAGCCCTTTCATTGTTCCTCTTGGGGAGGACTTAAAGGTTTTCTTGGTTCTAGTCACAATCAGAAAATATAAAATGAATTTTGCACATGTAAGGAGAAAGAAGTAGAGGTACATTATTGCATGAAAACAAGGTCTAGCATATTTTTTAAAGTTGCTATATTAAATAGAATCAGCAGATGTAAACAGAACACTAGGTAAACTACCACCATTTAAACTTCAGAGGAAGACAACTGAGTACAATGAATAAGATGTTTTCTGATGTAATCACTAGGGTGTCAAAAAAGGGGCCGTCAAAAAATGACCAGGTCTGATAAATGAATTATTTAAAAGAGTGATTAAAAGCCAATGGAAATTATAGGAATGGCAGCAGAAAAGTAACCTGAATGTAGAAATAGAGGTACATTCAACTGGCCAACTGGTGTAGGAGTTCTGTTATCCCCAGGCTGAGTTAAATGATTAGGAATGCAGACAAGAAGGCATGGTTTTCATATTATCTCAACACATCTCTCAGTGGATGCATAGTGGATGATATGGAGGTTGTCTTGTAATCCTAAATGGAAGAAGATATAAGTCATGAAACAAGATAGCGAGGAATGTGATAGAAATATGTTTGAACCTCACATGTTTTAAGTTTTAAAGCCCTTAGAAATTTCATCTTTTAAAATTATTATGTTCCATTGTTATTTCTACTCAAGAATAGACTGACTGACCTTTCTTGTCTTCATTTTTTAAAAATAGTACCTAACACATTTTGTACAAAATCTCTAAGAAATTTTGGGATTTCTTTAAATTCTTAACTCAGTTTTTTCAAGGCAAACAATTCTGAATAAAGAAACACAAAATTTCAGACATGTTTCAAGTATGTAAAAACTCTAAAGTACCTGGATCCTAGTGAATTACAGATGCAGTTTAGGTAGCTATCCTAAAAATTAGGGAGGTCAAATACTACCTCTTTGTTTGGAAATTCCACCTCCATGACTTGTTCATGATAGCCTTTTTGTGAAAAGGGTTTTGACAGTAAAGAATGAATGAATGAGTAAGCAGTTTTTATTAAACAAGCTTGACTTTGTTCTATTGCTGCTGTCCTTTTGTTGCTGTAATGTGGCTTCTAATTCCTGCAATACCCAACATGTTTTCTTTCTCTTCAAGAAATAAGCTTCACTAAAATATTTTCACTTCTAAACATGTGACATGTATTTGAAATTTTCTTTAACAGAGATCTCGTTTAGAGTGTTGTCTAGAATATTGATAAAAATCTTTTCAAATACCCTCAGAGCTGCCTGAATAGGGGATGCAGGGCAGTCAGAACTACAAATATCCCTTCTGTTCTCTCATACTATTTGTTGAATATTTTCTAAGTAATAGAGGGGAAAAGAAGATATGAAAATTATCCAAGAAATATACAAAGGAGAAATACTTGATGTGATGGATACTGTTTACCCTGATGTGATTACGCAGTGCATACCTATGTCAAAATATGCCATGTGATCCATAAGTATATACACCTAGTGTGTATCCACAGAAATTCAAAACTAAAAAGAAATTTTCCAAGGTATATGGGCATATAATCTCAATTTACAGTTGTAGAAGTTGGATGCCTGAGGTTTGGATGCATTACTGCTTTCGCAGGTCAGGTTTCTTGAAAACTGGTTGGAGTTTTTGAGAGTGCATTCAGTCTATCTGCTCCTGCTCTAGGGTAGAAGTCCTCAACTGCCACTTCTCAGGACAAAATCACCATGGTGCATGGAAGAAATGAGTAAACGGACCTGCAAATATTAGATTTTTCTGACTCGTTCACTTGCCTCCTCCTCCTCCTTCCCATAAATGGCCTTTTTTATTTTTAAGGTCTATGTGCAAGCAGTTATTTTTTTAAAAATGATCATAAACTTCCCTTTTCAAAGGAGTCTAAAATGCATTTCATATTTGTCTTTGTTTTCCTTAAACCTTGAACTCTTTGGAAGGGATATGTAATGTGAGATGGCATTGTTATAGTTTGGAAATTGTATTCCTCTTCTTCTTCAACTCAAAATAACTGTGCCTTCAGATCCTGAAAACTCACTAGTTGTCTTCATTTATTTTTAACCCCACTACACCTTATGTACCTTAATCAATAGGAGTTCAGAGTTTATCCTCTTGTTTTTGCTGCATTTCACGTCTTCAAAAATCAACAACTCTGTCACTGCATTCCAGACACATAAAGCCAAGTTTAAGAAATAATGTAAATTGGGATTTTTTTTCTCTACTTAACAAAATTTACTTTAAAAGTTGCAGGTAAAATAACCCCAGATCAATCTGTTACATGGAAATGTTATTTTATGTTTATATGGCACTTTTTGTTTTCACTGGGTTTGAAATTACAAAATTGACATTCCATTCCACGGTGGTAGTGAAATGCATTTTCAAAGGAAGAAACCAAAGCCCTGAGGTGTTAAGTATCCTGTCTGTAGTTGCACAATGAACATGGCAGAGACAAAATTAGAACTCAGTTTCTAAGTTTTATTTTCTTTCATCTATCTCTCTTTTACATATTAAATTCTCAAATTAGAAGTGCTATGTGCTTTCGAATTTAATTTAGACCCCCAAAAAATACTTGTTCTGTGATACACTTATGATTACTTTTCTGTAGTCTAAGTGATTATTTTCAAAAAGTTTAAAAAAATAGTTAGAAATATGAATGAAACAGGAATGCAAATAGAGCCTCCAAACCGATAGATTTTATGTAGTCAAACAAAAACCCTCATGGAAGTTTTGTTACAAATTTTGTTCCAAGAACTGATCTTATTCCTCTGGAACTGACATAATAATACATTACTAAATGGTCTACTTTATTGTGAAACTTGAGTCTACCACATGGGATAGATCATTTAAATCCTTGAACTTAATAACTTAAGTTTTCTTGAACATTAAGGTATTCAGTGACTACTCTCACAGGCTTACTAGGTAATGAAAAGTTTAATCTTTAGCTGAATCTTCAGTCATATAATGTGTAGTCAGATAAGAAATGAATGAACAACTAAATAAGTAATGAACCAGTGACAAAATGAATGAATGAAACTGAAAAGCAAAGGCTTTAATGAATTCAAATTCACTATTATGCTTTTATGCTTAATACATTATAGAATTCAAACAAAAATGGAAAAATCTCTAGGATATCAATTATTCAATTATGCCAGAGTTATTCAGCTGCTTTAAATCATTATAACCTTCTTATGTCTATGATGTTATACAAAGGAGAAAATTCAAATGGAAAAAGATACATGGGAAAAAAGTATTTATTTTAATATTATACATTATGATCCCAAATTTGAAGCCCAAGAGATTCTCAACATTTGGGAATTTGTTAAGCAAATACATTCCCGAGATGAAATTTTTTACAGCTACTTAAAATATTGATTAAATCAATAGTAGCATGTGATAAAGAAAAGAACATGAGCTTTGGGATCAGAAAAGTCTATAATTGAGTCCTCTGTCACTTCCAACATGTTCCAAATATAAAGAAACACCTGGAATCTCTGTGCCATCTTAGAGTTTCTTTGTAGAATCCTCCCTGACCTGTCATAGACTACTTATCCTATTGTGTACAGAGATTCAACACTATGCTTGCTAAGAGACCAATTTAATTTTGAGTAGTCTGCCTAAACACTTAAGAAAGGAATGAATGGAATCAAATAGGCCATGAACAATATAGCCACTTCCTAGTGGTACCATATTGGGTACATTACTTCTTTGAAGCTCAGATTTCTTGTCAATAAATTGCTAATAATAATACTGTTTACCCAATGGATGATAAAATGGCATTATATGTACTAGCACTGAGCTAGGTACAGATTTGGTATTAAGTACATGGCAATTGTTAGCATTGTTGTTGTGTGCCTTATGCTAATCTAAAACTTTTACTCAAAAATATTTTAGTTGGTCATTTATGCCCAAAGCATTACTTCTTAGTACACCAAACCCCTTCTATTACCAAACCCCCAATCCAACTGCATGCCCATTTTTCTTAGTAACATTCCTTGTATAAGCCAGCATTTTTGCGGTTCTAGTCAGTTTCCCCAAACTGTGTCAATTTCCACCCTGAGCCTTTCCTCCTGCTCAGCCCACAGACTGTCTTTTCTCCTTCTTCTGGATTTTCCTGTTGAACCATCCTTTTCCTTCAAGATTTAACTAAGTGGAGCTTCCTGCTGGAAGCTTTCTATAAAGCACTCAGTATTTACTGTTTTTCCCCCGTTTTTTTTTTTTTTTGGCACTTTGTATTTAATAGAATGCTTCACACTTTCCATCCGTCATTTCTAGGTCTGACTCTCTACAATATATTAAACTTTTTGAAGACAGAAGCTATTTCTCCCTTCATTTTTTTGTAATTCTTTTAGCAACTTAGTCACTTACACACAGTGGATATATTTAAAATATATGTCAGATTAAATTCAAGTTACTGAAAGAAAGAACATTGTGTAACCCTTCGTGACACAGACGTGCCATTTGAAGTACCCATTTGAATATGATTTTTCTAATTTTTACAAATTGAATTTTTACTTACATAAAGTTGCTTCTAAAAGGCTAAATGCATTGGTATACTTGACACAGAATTACTCCCCCCACATTTCATTTTAATTTATTGCACAGATAGCTGTTGGGTACAGTTATGTAGATAAAATCTTTCCATTGGGGCTAGTTCATGGACAAAGCATATTTGGTAATTTATAAGCTATACCCTGGCTTGCTTAAAACAGTACCTGTAGTATTTTGGGAAATTTTTACTAGTTCAAGAGAGGGAGTGATAAATGAATTGATTTACCTGGTCGATTTGGAAGATTTATGGATCCTCTGCAAAGAAAATAAACTCAAGAGTTTTCAAATATAATATCTCATAATTCCCTCTTTAGAAAGGAAGAAATTGTAGGTCTTTAAAACTACAAGAGGATGGTAAGATTGGGAGAAAAGAAAGGCCAAAACTTGCCCTGAAGATGAGTGTCAGTAGATCTTTAAAGAGTTTCTAATTTTAGCGTAATTGAAATAACATTTTTTAATAGCTTCACCCATTGATACATAATATTAATTAGGCCTCCAAAGACAAGAAAAGCTCCTCTTGTAGATGCCTGATTTACTCATATCTTTACAAACCTATGAACTATTTTTACAGGAATCTCTGTGTCCTCTTAGAGTTTCAACTTGAAAGATTTAAACTAAAAAATTATTTGTGTGTGTGTGTCTCTCTGTCTCTTTTTCTCTGTATGTCTCTCTCACAAACACACACACAATAATCTTCTCACGAAAAATGTACACTCAAATGAATGGTGTGTTCCTTTTTGACAAAAACTTTTGCTAAACTCTGTTGTAAAACATTCTAAAACGGCTAGTGATATCCACCTGCTGACAAGGAGTCACTGTAGTCAATAATCCAATCAAACACTCAAAATACTTGACAATAATCTTAGGATTTTTAAATATTCTGATTATTTTCACTTGGTAGTTTATACTGAATATTACCAAGAACCAACTTGATAGGCCCGGTGCAATGGTTTACGCCTGTAATCACAGCACTTTGGGAGGCCAAGGTGGGCAGATCACCTGAGGTCAGGAGTTTGAGACAAGCCTGGCCAACATGGTGAAACCCTGTCTCTACTAAAAACACAAAAATTAGCTGAGTGTGGTGGCAGGCGCTTATAATCTCAGCTACTCAGGAGGCAGAGGCTGGAGAGTCACTTGAACCCGAGAGGCGGAGATTGCAGTGAGCCAAGATTGAGCTACTGCATTCCAGTCTGAATGACAGAGCTAGACCGTCTCACATTAAAAAAAAAAAAAAAAAAAAATTCTACTTGATTAAAAAAACAGTGGCTTGACTGGGCAGGCACAGTGGCTCATGCCTATAATCCCAGGACTTTGGGAGGTCAAGGTGAGTGAATGGCAAGGTCAGGAGATCAAGACCATCCTGGGCAACATGGTGAAACCCTGTCTCTACTAAAAATACAAAAATTAACTGGGCGTGGTGGTGCATGCCTGTAGTCCCAGCTACTCAGGAGGCTGAGGCAGGAGAATCGCTTGAACCCAGGAGGTGGAGGTTGCAGTGAGCAGAGATCACGCCACTGCACTCTGGCCTGGAGACAGAGCTAGACTCCATCTCAATCAATCAATCAATCAATCAATAAAAATAATGGTTATAACAAAGTGGCTAGGCTTGACAGAGTTTGGCAAAGAAAACCTATCAAATTTAAAAATTGTCAGGGTCAGAGTATACTTTGAAAAGTATTTATCTGTTTGTATTCAGTGGTGAACTTAAGCAATCCATGAGAATTTTGTAAGTCAGCATAAAGTCTAATTCTCTTTCTTCAGAAATGGAGAAAAACTTGTTTAAATATTACATATTTTTCTTTAAAAAAAGAGACAAAGTAGTTTCCATTGAATCTTAGTTTAGAAGTCTTGTCCGACTGTAGAAGATTCTAGAATGCATATTAAAAATCTGATCTTGTCTATGAGCCCCTTCCCTGTTTCACTCCATGGTTCTCTCCAACCCCACTTTCCAAATATTCTCATCATGTCTACTTTACCCAAGAAGACTAATCTTTTCACCCTTCTCTGAATATGCATTTTCATTACTTTCCACCTTGCCAAATTCCAAACTACTTTTAAATATCTAAAATTCTATCATTTCCCATGGAGACTTATTCGCTATTACAAACAAAATACACATATAAACAAATAACTAACATAAATAAAATCTGCCTTAACTATTACAAAACCATTATTAGGATTAAAACGCATTTACTAAATAACAATCAAACATAATTTTAGGGCTAGTTTAATGGCAATTATATTTAAATACATAATTTTAAAAGTCTGTTGTGACTCTTAACACCAACCTCTAAGAAATTAAGACTATTATTATCACAATAGTGTATATATAATATGATTAACAAGAGACTTGCTAATTAATAAAATTCCAGTTTTTTTTTTTAAAAGAGTCAAGCTATTATCAGTGTACTAAATAATAAGAGTAAGACATGTTCACAAATAAATGTGGATTATTTGCCTATCTTAGAACTTTCTTCTTCACTCTACCAGCTCAAATCTAGATGAGAAACTTGTTCTTAGTTCCTGTAGAAGAATAAAGCCTGGCACCCATTTTTAGTTTAGCAAGCTGGTGGTGACACCGAGACAGCATTTTTCTATAGCGTTTTCACAGCATATGTTGCATGGATCACACACTAAATGTTTATTTTGTAATTTACAGTCTAGAGGAGTTATGAGAAAAGAAACTGGGTAAAAAGTATTAGATCAAACTTTGATAACAATAAGTTTAAGTAAGAAACTAACTTGTGAAAATTACATGTTAGCTGGGCATATTTCAAGGTATCTGTTGGGAAACACTAAAGCAAGTTTTTTTCTAATATTTACCCCCCGACCCCCTTTTTTCTTTTAGCTGAATTGTTATGGGAAGACACTTTTGTTTTTTTTTCTGAATAAGTATTTGTGTGACAGTTTCTACTGCTGTGGGTTCAGTTGACATTCTGTCATCAATAATAAAAATTCTTGAACATTTTTAGTCTTACAAATCTATCTTCACTCATATTAATATACATAAATTGTACATATATATGTAAATTGTCATATGTTACAGATGCTTTAGAAACATTGCATATTTGAATAACTATATGTACATCACAGGACCACAGGATTCTGGAATACATGTGAATTCAAATCATTAAAACATTTATTAACTGAAAACTCAGTCATGAATTTGCTTATGAAGAATACCTTAATATTATAGTAGAGAACAGAGTATGAGAGTTGCTTAATTTTAGTCCAATTTTAAAACAATGATATGTTTAACTAGCTCCTTACTTTTAAATGATATGTTCATAAACTTAAGCAATGTTCATTCACAAATTTTTTCTTATAAATTTAACTTTCCCTCTACTAATCAAGAATATAAGTTAGTAGACTCTAATTATCTTTGGATTGCTTGGTTCATATATTTAAAAGGAGAGATTTTTTTTTAAATGGCGTTTGCTCTGAAAGTAAGGATGTATTTTAAGGAAGAAAACTTGGGATTTACATTTTGTAAGTAATAGTATTGGAAGATGTATATCAGTATTTTAAAAATTCCTTATAAAATGGGCATATTCCAGAAGGAAACAACATTAGATCTTTATTCTACAGGAGATCTCTAGAGGTTGTGTACCTCTCTAGACCCCCTTCCTCCACATCCCACAGTGAGTTAATAACCAGTGGTGTAAGAGCATGCAGATCACCTGCCTTTTGGGTAGGTATAAATTTTCATAACCCTGAAATTCTTAAAGGTAATCCTCACTATATTGAATATTTTATAATTTATTAAATTGCATTTCTAACTGTTCCAGACCATGTTTCTATAACCTGTGTACACAGTGATTGACACATAAAAATCAGTCATGTTTAACAAGTACATGAACCTAAACATCTTTATGTGAATTTAATATCTAATTGTGAATTGCTGCTCACCTCGTGATCACCATCTGTCAATCAGTATGAACTGAGAACTATACATTATTACTATTTATTGGTTCAATCTTTTTCAAGGCACAATGCCTAAGGAAGTAACCGATTATTGGTCCACTGTAATTGAAATGCCCACATATTTGAAAAAGATGGCTAAATAATGAAAATAACTTGTTTCTCTGTATATTGACTTAAGAAAGAAAAGTAAAATGCTTTTGTGATTCACTTATATATTGTTTTTCTAACCCCAATAAAACCCGACTTGAGAAGTTTGTCAGACATATATATTTCTTTCCCAAATAGTTATTTTTTGATGGCTTTTGTGAGGAAAATGATGCATTGGAATTGATATAGTGTGCATAATATAAATGCCAATAATACATTTACTCTTCTAGATTTTTATTTGTTCTGAGTTTTTCCAATTATTATGGAGGGCTCTTGACATCAAAGATTGACAGCCTCAGTTTTTGTTTTGGGGAGTCTTAGCTGTTGCCTGGTGTGGAGTTACATGCTTCTAAGATAGAGCAGAAGTTGTTGCTGCTCGTGGGTTTCTCCCCTGCTTGTGCCAGAATCACCTCCCTGCAAGACTGCATATGGAACTTTCCTAACCCACATTTGTTTCTCCCAGGACTCTGACTCCTTTGAGGGATTTGCCTGCCTAGCTTGATGGAGGTATTCCAGCTCTGCTTTCTTTCAGATAGTATTTCTTATTCGTTTTTATCTAAATAGAGGATTATATTAACTAAACATGATTGAACTTGAGATATGAGTAGGTACATTTCTAGTATCTGGTTTTGTTACAGGTTCTTATGGTTGATTTTCTGCCTGTAATGTAATACTTTAATACAACTGTCTTTAAATAGCAACAACTCCTAGGAAGAAGTTTTGAGGAAACCTATGCAAGTTCTTTTGGAAAGAAATTGGCATTTCAGTGCTTAATTCAATTAGCAACTCATAAAGTCTATATTGACTAGGATGCAAATAGCCTTTATAAGCATTAATTTCATGACATGAACATTTTGTACAAGTGAATGTAGAGTTTGTAGATCCTTAGGCAAATCTTCACTGTCAGTTGAATTTATTTAAAGAGCTGTTCTGGTCACCTTTGAACCTCAATGATTTCTCCAGATGTACAGAAGTGAACAATGTAAAAATCTTGCTGTTTCAGCAGAACTGATTCCAGCTGGCTGGGAACTGGATCTGCAAGTCATTGGTTACAGCTGTGTTTCGATTTATGTGATGGTTGAAAAAATAAATTACCCGATTAGATGGCTAGAAAGAGGACTCTTTGTTTAGCCCTTGTGTGGGGACTGAAAGTGTTTATGGTGCTGTTTTCTACGCAGTCTTTGCAAAGTAAGCTGGACAAATAGACTTATTCAGTGCTTCTAAGAAATGTTGCATATTCAGCTTTAATTATTTACTAAAGAAACTGTTTTTTTTTTTAATAGTGCTGTCATCCAGCAAATGTTTTAAAGGTCTAGCATTTAAGAGAAGCAGTACGTTTTCTGTCCTACTGAGCACTGCATTTAGTAATTGAAAAGCAGTTTTCTTTTGTTTAATGTGTACTTTAAAACATGTCTTTGTCAGGCACAAGAATGGGAATACACTTTCTCTTAAATTCAATCCTTTATAATGGCAAAGTATCTGAACATAAGTTCTACCTTAACCCTTTTCCTTAGTGAGTTATGGCTAATGGCACATAAGAGAAAAATACATTAAATTGTTATATAAAGAAATATAGTCAAACATTACTGTAAAAAGTTAACATGCCTATGGGCCACTTGGGCTATGAGGCTTTTGAATTTGTGAATGTTTTGTTATCCAAGTTTTATATGGAGAGTTTGTAAGAGTGTTAATCAGCATGTAACTTTCTAGGCCAGTCAAAATGCTAACTCTTGGAACTCTGGTGTACAGAGTCTAACAAAATACCTTCCCAAAGAGACTAATATGCTAACATTATCTTGGGTGAGGGGTTGTTTGTTCTCTTGCATTATTTTTCCGAGGTAGCTTCACTTGGATCATTCTGAAGCTGTCAGAACCAATATATTGTTTGTAGTTCACCCATTTCCAATGTGTCATTTTAAAAAGTGAGTGGTGGCTCCAGAAAAGATAGCTACAATGTCTTCATCATTATTTTCTCAAACGCTGATTTGCTAAATGATTTCAATATTTTTTGGAAGTTTTTTTTTCTTTATTGCTTTCTAAACTCCTGAAAAGGGCCCACATTCTTCAGTGAACTTGAAACTGAGGCCAAGCACTTGACCAGGTGTCACAAGGTCCCCTGAGTTCAGTAGCAGTTCAGTGTGGGGAACACCCAGGAATATGTTATATTTTCCAAGAAAATAGAAAATTCTTTGTCTATTATCTTTCTTAAACAGCTATATATTATAGAATTTAAAGATGCAGAATAAATAAGCATAATGATCTAATAGGAGACAAAGGTGGGATTGATCTGTCTTGAATTGAAAGACAGTTTTGCTATGTTAGGCTATTTCCTTGATCAATGAAATTATATCTTCTAACCCTTAACAAAATCAATACAATTGATTGGAAAAGGTAGGAACAAAGCATGAGAATGTGGAATACACTTGAACCTTCATTGTTCAGTAATATTTAAATGATGTTCATAATGCTTAGAAGCATTTTCCACTAACTCCATGTAATGGAAGCTTCCTTAATCTAGATTAAAGACCTGAGTAATAGAGTTTGAGAATATGCTATAATGACATCCTTCATGGAATAACATGTCTTTGTAAAAGTTAAAATCATTTCACATTACTTATACTTCTAAAAGTGGGAACAGTTTCTATCACTCAGCATAGAGAGAGCAAAGTGAAATTCAATCTTGAAAAGAATGTGTATAAATTATTTTAATATGAAAAACTTAGGAAAGAAAAAAGTATCTAAAAGAGAGAACACTTTTTAATTTAAAATAATTTACTCTATATTTTGTGCTCCTGCTAACTGTCATGATCAGTAGATAAAGCATTTTTCTCATGAAAAGAACCCTACAAAATTAGCATATTTTTAACATCAAAGAAAACTCTAAAAATCTAGAATAAAAATGATTATGCACAGTCAGTATAACTATACATTAATAACTTTATTCCCCTTTAATTAAGCAGCACTTGAAAATGAATATTTTTTAAAACCAAAAAGTTTTTGCAAGTTGATGGAGAATTTTTAACCTATGATTTGCCTGTTTTTCTGGTTTCCTTTGTATTCCAAATTTCAAAAATCCACTTAAGAAGGTTTTATAAACTAGATACCTTATCCTGACAGATTTTAAATGCTTTATTAAAGCTAAAGTATGTCTATTTGATCAATGAACCCTAAAATGTTTTTTTAATCCACATAGGCTAATTTTTACAGTCTTCCAAAGAAATTATGAGGTTTTCTCCCCTGTGTCTGTGTCATAACTGTGCATATACATTTTTAAATCTTAGAAAATTACTATCTTTCTAGTTCTAAGATGAAAATATTTTATATAGTATTTCAAATAATTAAAAATTTCAGCAGAAATAAAGTAATCCACATAAAAGATCTACTATAACATTTTGAAATCGCCATATTATACTATTATACAGTTACTATGAAATGATACAATTGCTTTTTTTTTTTTTTTTTTGAGATGGAGTCTCGCTCTGTTGCCCAGGCTAAAGTGCAGTGGGCATGATCTCGGCTCACTGCAAACCCCTGCCTCCCAGGTTCAAGCAATTCTCCTATCTCAGCCACCTGAGTAGCTGGGACTACACGTGCACACCACGATGCCTGACTAATTTTAGTAGAGATGGGATTTCACCATATTGGTCCTGACCTCAGGTGACTGACCCGCCTCAGCCTCCTAAAATGCTGTAATAACAGGCGTGAGCCACTGCACCTGGCCTGAGATCATACCAATTTTCAAAATTCAGCTATGAGGTGAGATATCACAGAGATATAGAAAGAGGGTATGTCATTAGCCTTTCTGGGGAAAAATGCTACTGGACAGTTATTGTGAGGATTAAATTAGATAATTATATAAACAGATATCTAAATAGTAGATAGTAATTACCAACATATGTTTTCAATTGTACTGCCCTTCCATTGCACAGGATTTTAGGGCTGAATTAGGCTTTGGAGATAAGCTAGTCCTCTCTCTTTATTTTAAAAAATAAGAGAACTAGGCCAGGCATGGTGGCTCATGCCTGTAATCCCAGCACTTTGGGAGGCCAAGGCAGGTAGATCACCTGAGGTCAGGAGTTCGAGACCATTCTGGCTAATACGGTGAAATCCTGTGTTTACTAAAAATACAAAAAAACTAGCTGGGTGTGGTGGTGAGCACCTGTAATCCCAGAGACTTGGGAGGCTGAGGCAGGAGAATTGCTTGAACCAGGGAGGTGGACTTTGCAGTGAACCGAGATCTCGCCATTGCACTCCGGCCTGGGCAACAGAGGGAGACTCTGTCTCAAAAAAAAAAAAAAAAAAAGAACTAAGGTTCCAAAAGTTAAATGACTTATCTAAGATGATAAACATTATTACTTACACAAGTGGTAGTACAACCAGTTTTTCTCACTCTTAAATCAGTTATTTTTCTACTTCCTCACTTGGTTTCATGGTGTTGTACATAGCCTACCATATGGGAAAAATAGTGTTTTTCTATAGTTATGTTACTTAAAACATAAATTTTTATATTGATCCTGAAGTATAATATTCAAAGTACAACAGTAACTCTGAAGTCATTTGAAGCCCTCTCATTTATATTCATTCTTTAAAAACCAGGATTAGTTATTTTCTCTCTCACCTGTTAGGAAGCACATCAACACAGCAGAAACATTTACTTATTAGTATGTACAAAGTGGAAAACTATTGAAAAATACTCTTCCAGATTTGTGTATCTATATATATTTTTGAGACAGAGTCTCTGTCACCCAGGCTACAGCGCAATGGCGCGATCTCAGCTCACTGAACCTCTACCCCCAGGTTCAAGCAATTCTCCTGCCTCAGCCTCTAGAGTAGCTGGAACTACAGGTGTGCACCACGACGCCCAGCTAATTTTTGTATTTTTAGTAGGATGGGGTTTTGCCATGTTGGCTAGGCCGGCTTTGAACTCCTGACTTAAGGTGATCCACCTGCTTCGGCCTTCCAAAGTGGTGGGATTACAGGCGTGAGCCACCATGCCCAACCTCAGATTTGTATATAATTTGTTAGAATATACTTTTTTGTGCTCTCCAAATTTCCTCTCATTATCATTCCCTGCCTTTTCCCTGAGAGAGAAACACTCCACCAGCATCCTCAAGACCTACTTGTTCCTATGTGTGACTGAACAACAACGTTCATGTCACTTTCAGCTCAAGACCTCCCTCAAGTTCTTCTTGCTCTGTTCCCTCATCTCAGTGTCATCTCTGTAGTGTACTTTGAATGAGGTCCCCTTGTGGATACTGATGACAGACAAACTGAATGGAAAGTGGGTTGTACACTTCTAGAGAGCAGAAGAAGGGAGGGTGAGATGAAAGAAAACAGGGGAGAGGGGGCATGAAAAAGTGATTACTACAATGAATTACAATCACTATTTTTTGTATAACTAAATACAAGAATGAACATAGATTTTTATATGCCAGGATCATTCCTAAAAGGAAGAGAAATCTCTGTCATGATTTGTTTTTCCTTGATAGTTCTGATACTCTACATTTATATATATGAAAAGAAAAAGAAAGAAAGTAATTTTGGGTTGACAGACTATTGCATCCCAGTCATAAAGTGCCTGAATTAGCACTGAGTCATTCTCTAGTCCAAACACCAAAATCTTAAAAAAATATATAGGTCAAGTTTATTTTTTCCTGGTTAAAAACCAGTATCTTTGATCATGAAATTTTTAAAGTAATAACTCATATAAATTTACATTTTACTTTAATTTTGCTTAAACTAATTCTAGAATCTGAATTGTACATGAAAATTATGTTGCTAACGTGTACACACACACACACACACACACACACGCACGCACACACCTGTGTGCGCTGACAAACAGACTCGTCTCATTTGGGTTTTTTTCTCAGCCAATTACATAGAAAATTCCCAATCAGGGCCAGGCTTGGTGGCTCATGCCGATAATCCCAGCACTTTGGGAGGCTGAAGTGGGCGGATCACAAGGTCAGGAGTTCAAGACCAGCCTGGCCAACATGGTAAAACCCATCTCTACTAAAAATATAAAAATTAGCCAGACGTTGTGGCATGTACCTGTAATTCCAGCTACTCAGGAGGCTGAGACAGGATAATCACTTGAACCCAAGAGGCCAGGGTTACAATGAGCCAAGATCACACCCTTGTACTCCAGCCTGGGTAACAGAGGGAGACTCCATCTCAAAAAAAAAACAAAAAAGAAAATTTCCAACTAGATCATCCCAGTCCATCAGCATCTGATTTTTATCTTACTGCCCTTTAATTACTCTTCTTTGTTTAAACAACGGCAAAGTAGTTTTGTCTGCTCCTAATTGCTGATTGCTCCTCATTTTAACAGGATTTTTAGAAAAGATTTTCTTTTGAATTTTTGCTACTCACACTGCTATTACATCACTTCTTTATTGAAAACAGAAATATGTAATATGTGTTATTTGGCTCTAAAAAGAGAATGACTCTCATTTCTGGAAAGGTTAGAAAAATAAACACCTCATTTATTCAGAGACTTTAGCTTCAGTAGTTTTCTGTGTCTTCTGATAGTTTTGTTATCAACTGTTTCGAAGTTAGTATTTATGTACCCTTTTTCCTTAAGTAATCATGCATATTTCCAGACTATGAGTAAATAAAAACAATAGATACTCTTCAGTCAAAATGAAGTCTCTTGATTTTAGATCTTTGAATAAATCAACATAGTTTAATTCTCTTAAAAGAGACTTGAAAGAAACTATTGGGATCCAGTAATCAGTTATGTTATAATACTTTTCACAAGGAAAATTTAAGTCAACACTCTTCTATAAAACTTTCTGCAGGGTTTAAAATGTTTTATATTCAGGTTGTTCACAGTAGTGTCTACCACCACATGCCCTGCTGCACATTTGAAATATGGCTAGGGCAACAGAAAAAAATTTGTTTACTTTAATTTATATTTAAATAGCTACACGTGGCTGGTCACAGCTTCTTGGAGAATGGAGGCTAAATAAAACAAGAAAATATACAAGTGATAAACAATGTATTCTGCACATTCATGAATTTTGAGTCAAAATTTGAACTGTAGTTTTTTTGGTTTTTTTGGTTTTTTTTTTTTGTCTTTTGTCTTCTTCTTACTCCAAAAGTCACTAAGGAATACAAATATCTTCCCCTTCTCAGTACTGATTTCAAATGGCATTTATAAGAAATAAAAGGTTCCTGCCTTTGTAGTAAGGTAGAAGGCAGGTTGTATGAAATTGTTTCAGAGTAGTTAGCTATTACTTCCTCTAACTGAAAATATTTTTGGATGTAAATTCAGATCTATCTTGCTTATCTTATAGAAAGTTAATAGAACAAATCTCCAAAAACATAGAATAAATCTCCAAAACATAAAAATGGTTGGTCTAGCAAGGTAATAGTTGCATTATGTGATTTAAACTAAATGTAAAATAGCATCACAATTTTACTTTAAATATTTTAGCCATAATCAAAGTATAAACTCTAGTTGAGGAATGCTTTGTGTTGATGATAAGAAGTTCAGAATTAGAGGAGACCTTAAACCTGTATATATGAGAGTGGTAATTGAACTGATTGATTACAACATCTTCTTTCCAATAAATATTGATTTAATCAAAATCTGCATTTCCATTGGCCTCAGTGGAAGTCCTAGCAGAAGCCTGGGCACTCAGACCTGGCTACCCTCTATCTGGATGTAAATATTTTTAACGCATGGCCATTCAGTTATAAGTATGATTTTTTTGGAAAATATTTATTCCTCTTGATTTTCTAGACTGCTCAGTTAACATTGTTAAGCCTTCTGTAAAGTTAAGGCCTGTGTGTGTGTCTATCTCTGTATGTAATAAAGGGACAGCATGGATTAGGGGGAAAAAAGGTTGTATTTGCATTTGTTGTTTCTGATTCACAGAGCTAGGAGTACAGTGCTCATATAGAGTCCACAGGGCTAGGATGTCAGTAGGCAGTTGCTGTAAGCTCATGTTCAATTATTAAAATAGTAGACATTTTATGTCTGATAGCCATAGCGAGGTCATGACATTAATTTATCCAAAGTATTGTGGGCGACTGTCTAGAAAAATAAATAGCGTAAAGGACACAGATGCCAGAAAGCTGAAGAAGAAAAAAAAAAGTTGGGTCTGAGCAAAGAGTGATTAAGAGATGACCAATTTATTTAATCCACGAAGGACAGGAAGAAGTCAGCAGGTGTCTCGATGTTAATGACAAGTATTTTGAGCTATGCTGTGCATGTGTTAATTTTTGTTTTAGTTTTTCATTAGATTCTAAGCTTGTTGAATACGATTCCTATTCCACGTCAGAAAGTTAATTTCATATTTTACTGTTGATTCAATGCTGAGGGATTCTTTGCTATCTGTTTCTTTCTCTCCCTTTTTCATTCTTCCCTTTTCTCTTCCCATTTCTGTGTTTCCCTTTCCTCTTCCCTCTGTTACTATTTTCCTCCTTGCCATTGGCTCTCATGAGAGTATATTCTTAATTCTGTTTCCTTCTGGTGCCAACTCCTTTATCTGTTTTTGTTGTTGTGTTTGAGAGGTTTCTTTTTCCTTTTTTTTTCAAATCGGGAGCCTGTAGGAACTGATCTTAGAGATACATACCCACGACTGATGCTTCTGTCTCTTTATGGGTTGTGTGATATTTTCATTGGAACCTCTGAGAATGGTTGTCCTTCTTGTTTGTTGCCACAGATCTGTTGCCAATCTGCTACCTTAGTTGAGCCTGCAGTGCTGCACTGCATGCTGGGATCTGTCTGTGTGAGTAAACTGAAATTTCTACAGCACCAGGCAGCGTTAGAGTTGGCTTGAGAATTGCCGTACTTTGCTTCTCTTTGTATGTATTGCTTGTATGCTGCAGAGTCACTGATGGCTAGCTCTATCTGGCAAGTAATTCAGAAATGCTGTTCATGTAGAAAGGAAAGGTAGGCACTTTACCACACTCTGTCAATAAAGAGAGCAATTGAAGAACAAAGGAACCGAGTAAATACCTATATATTGCCTTTTATGTTGTGAAACACTGTAGCACAAACACAACTGTGTTCAGCCAAATGTTTCACTTCCTTTTGTACTAATGCATATAGTAGATTGTCTCCACATATGTACAAGATTCTATATTTTATTTAAACATATGTAGTCAATTGTTCATAGTTACAGGGTGCAAACATATCCCAATCTCAAAGACTGTTACATATTCACTCCCACACAGCTATTTTTTATTATTTTTTTAAAGTTCTTAACTTAAAAAAGATATATACTAATATCTCTGTTGGTTGATTTTGTTAAGCAACTAAGGATTTCCACAGAGTTTAAATCACATCGATGACTCAGATCCTGGCAGGTCTTATAATTCCTGTGAAATGACAGCACGGCTAATAAAAATATTAAGCAATTATTTTTATTAAAATCATAGGGATTTTTTTTCATTATCACATAGAAATGATTGATCTATGCAGATTGGTCTCACTCGTGTGTCTCGTGGGCTGTTTGGGGCTTCATATAGAAGTGGAAAGTTCCCTTTGCTCTTCCTTCGACTAAGGTGGGGAAAATGAAGGCATAGAATAAACTCTAGGGCTGTTAAAGAATTGCCGGCATTACTTCTCTCTGTCACGTGTGAGCCTGGCTGCCTGCTTCCTGAGGTAGGGGATCCAGGATGAGACTGTGACAGAGCCTGTTTCCACAACTACATTTGGAGATCTGTCTTATTGATTAGGGGGAGAAAGGGGTGGGGATCAGGAGTGTGAGGTGAGGGGAGGACCAGCTGACAACTGACTCATTGAAGCACAAGACATTTTCTTCCGGAAAGATGTTAACCCACTGAGAAACAGCCAGAAAGGAAGTAGAAAGGTGGAAAAATGAGGAGACCCTGGAAGAAATGAAGGCATTTCTTATGAGAGAGCCTTGGGGCTTTTTCCTTTTCTTTTTTTCTCTCTTTTTTTTTTTTTCTTCAATCATCTGACCTGCAAAGGCTAGAGTGACAGCGTCATGCAAATGCTGCAGTCCAGCAGGTCTGGGAGAGGGTGGATGCTAGACTGTGAGTTAATGTTAATGATGAGCGCAGTGAAAATACCAGCCGCTGCCACCCCCTGCTCACAGAAGCGCTCTGAGTCAGCATCAGATGCTTTGCCTCGCCTCTCGCTGTGTGTCTGTATGCCTGTGCGCGCGCGCGTGCTCGCTCGGGCATCCGTGTCTAGCCGAGGGGAGGGGGTGGCGTGTGAGTGCGTGGAGGGTAAAAGCCAGTCAGTCAGTGAGAAGCAAAGGTACGTTGGAGAGCAACTAAAATCTGACTGATTTCCATCTTTGGAGCATCAGATGTATTCCCTAAGGAGGATGGGTCTCCGTGATGGGGGTGGTATAATTATGTTAATGTCATATTTATGGAGGGGTGAGATTTTTCATTCTGATAATTGGTTGAATGCTATGGTCAAAAATTGTAAAGCCATATTCAGTTTTAGGGAAAAGCATGGACTTAGATCTAAGGGCTGTTTTATTTTTTCGCTTTTTGTGAGTGCTGCTTTTTTTTTTTTTTTTTTTTTTTTGTTTTTGTTTTTTAACTATTTATTTTAAGCCATAAGTGATTCAGTATGGGAAATCAAACGATAAACAGAAAGAGATCTTATATAATGATGCATTACATCATGGAGCAGAATATTTAAAGTCTTAGAAGGCAGAGTAAAGATCTGGACAGGGGGTGGGGGGTGGTGGTTTGAAAGGGGTGTGGTACTAGGATGGAGGAGGGGGGCCAGTTAGCAAATATTTTGTACAGCATAGCTTTCCTTGCAGCTTACTTGGAAATGGATGATTCACCTGTTCTACAGGAAAACGTTCTAATTCTTTCCATTTTTTTTTCCCTCCTCTTTTCCCTTTTAAGATCAACCACTTCAGAAGAACCAGATTCCACTTCTGTGGCCAGGACTTTTATGTTATGGCTGGTCCGATTGTTTTACCCTGCGTTCTATGCTACTAAACCTTGGATAATTCCTAAAGTACAAATTGTTCTCGAACCACAAACAAGGCTAAAAGATCGGAGGAAATTCAGTGAATATACAGGATTGGGGTTGTGTATTTTCAAAAGTACTGAGCTTTATAATTCAATTATTCAAGAAGTAGAATCATGTTTTTTTTTTTAATGATGCTGCCAGCATTTTAAATTACATGTTTATTAAGTGGCATTTCTCAAATAACTACAGAGTATGCGTGGAAATATTTGCTGTCTGAATAGTTTGGAGATTCAAAGAGAAAAATCAAGCTTCAGAGGTATTAAATTATGACATGCAGAAAAGTTTTTGTTTTGTTCTTAACTGCAACGGTATATATTTTAATCCGATTTAAAGTGTTATATGTCCTGGGCCCACCTTAACAGTTGTGCTGTATAGCAATGTAATGAGAAGCAAAATTTCAATTAGGGTCCCATTAACTGGCATATAATCCTTCTTTAATGTGATAGAGGCTATGGTGTTGCCGTACAAATCAATTTTTAACCCATTTTTATTCTCTTTCTTTGGATCTAATGGGATGACTCTTAACTGTTCATTGTCTGCATTGTTTCTCATATTCTTCATTATTTTAAGGTCTGGAATTAGTCTGTAAATAGTCGCCGTGATCACTCAGCTCATCCTAACTTCTATATATCAATATATATTTCTACTTATGTGTTTTAAATAGTATTTAGAGGTAAAAGCCTAAGTGAACCCAACTGTAATTTCTGAGCTATCCTTATTTCTGGAAGAAGAATTCTACTGCATCAAACCAGACTTTTCCTAGTCCCTGAGACCCTAACTTGTGAGGTATTTTAGTAACATCACAAGTCAGGCTCTTGGGACCTAGGCGGAGGGGAACCAGCAGCTTTGGACCTTATTGATTGTCTGCAGTTACCACCAGAACAAAAGAACATACATAGATTCTGCCTAGGAGAAAAGAACAATGCTTTTCTTTATCATCAGCAATGTTTTCACCATGACCCACCCCCAAAAATACAATTGTCAGGAACTGTACTCTAAAGTGATTGCACAGTCGCACTAAAATAGCATTTGTATTATAACAGTCATACAAAAGCAATATAAGAAATTGTGTAAGAAGCAAAATTACAATACAAGTGTTAAAAAATGCTTCTTTTGGTACATTTTAAGGTGGCTAGTGTAAGAGGATATCTCTTAAGTTAATGAAGAAAGAGGATTATATTTATAACTTTTTTCCATATGCATTGAAATATATACATTAGCTACTGAAATAAATTCTGTGTGTCTCCATATAACTATGGCTTAAACTATGTCATATACAGCTATAATCATGCTTGAGGCCTAGAAATAACATGATTTACAATCTTCTTTATTGACCCTATTAGATTTTACTACCGATTTAAGAAGAATGCTGCTCTATACTTTGTATTTATTGCCAGGGTTTTCCTGAGTCTTGTATCCAAACAACGTACTTTATATGTCTTAACAATTCTGACAATTCTCTTATTATGAGAGTTTAAGAGTGAAAGTTTCATCAATAATTTGGGAAAATATGGTATATTTTCGTTTTTACAGTTTGCTGTGTACACATCATGGATCTATGTGAGATAAAACAGTAAACACCACCTAGGAAGTCAAACTGCTTGGACTGGCAACTGCATATGAACTGCATAGTTTTAGTTTTATAAGAAATTTAGTTTTATCAGAGGTTACTATTCCAACCATAAGTAATATGTCACATTTGAATGTTTAATAGCCATTGCCACATCAGATATGTCTTTCATGGAAATGGAATCAGTATACTAAATCTATTTTAAAATTTTACAGTAATGTTACAAATATCAAGATTCAAAATGGAGATGACAGACTTTCCATAATAGAAGCAACAAAGTGGCTTCATTCTTTTAACTATTGCCTTAGATGAGTGCCATAAATTACGTGTTTTCTGCATTGTTAAAATAAATATATGAATGTATTTTAGAATACTATATGGACTCTTTGTTCACATTTTAAAAAATTTCTTATAATACCTACTTGAAATATTACAGAATATAAATCATCTATTAGTCATAGTTATTAAAAATTAATATAACAATATCATAAACATGCATCTATATAAAGCATGCAGAGTATGTTTAAGCATGTATGCACACTGTACCTATTCAGATTCTTTATTTATATCATCTACCTCATTTATCTAGAAGTTCTGAAATTTTAGGTGTGTATATGTGGTATGTGTGAATAAAAGTTTTAAAGCTCCCAATGAAAAGAGGCAATATAAACAGTAAAGAGTTTTGGTTGTATTTATCTTTTACTAATTTTGATCTCATTCTCATTGGAATTGAGCATTTTTTAAAACCATAAGTTTCTTAATACAAAGAAATCTATGCATGTATATCTACATGTACACAGAAACTTGATTACATTAATAGCAATGTTCACACAACAAATTTGAAAGTACTTCTTATATAAAATAATATCACATACAAGTATGTGTTTACTGACACCTGTTTTAACATGATTATAAATAATATCTATAAGAGTTTCCATCAATTTAATTCTAAAACAGTGTAAGAGGTAGATGTTTATTGGCTATAGTGATATCAGATAGAGGTTATTGAAATGTGAAAATGTTTTAATGTTATCATATTCACGAACCACACTGTATATTAACTTCTGTCTCATAAAAGAAATATCCCAAAGCTGAACTGAGAATGCAATGGTGTTTGTTCATTTTTACCATAAACATATAAATTTTTTTTTTACTGATAATCCTACATGATTGGAACTTCTCTATGTAACCCTCCTATGATAACTGTCTTTTGAGAGCCTCATTGATAAAGCTCTTCTCTTACCTCATAAAGGTGTGTAGGGATTTAAGTGGGTGACTTTGTTTATATAAGCTACTTTGTGCTGTATGTATATAGACAGGTGCCACTTTTTCTGCATTACTGTCTCTGCTGTCACAGAATAATATTGTTTTAGGGCTTTATGACATGATTTGGAAAATCAGATCATACTAAGCTTAAAATAAAAGAAGAGATCTACAACAAAGAGCGAGAAAATGATGTGTGTTGCATACAGAAAAAGCAGTGATATTAACAATTCGATGGCTTCCTGGTAGGGAGACCAGCCTGAGCCAGACGCATATATTAAGGGCTGTCTGCTGCCGATGTGAGCTTGCTCAATGCGGTGGAAATGAGGAATCATCTCCTTTCTGACACCAGCTTATTTGTATATTTTAATTTTGAAATAGCAAATTATTGTTTTACATAAATATACTAACCCTGCCTGATTCATTTTCTTTTCCATATTGTTTGTTAATTTACTGTCAACTTCAACTTCCTTTTTTTAGCAAAAAAATCATCACTCAACTTAAACATCTACCAAAGACCAATGAAGTCTTTTTCTTTTGTCTTTTTTGTATTGCTCTGACAATATTGTGATACTCATGCTTTTAACTTTTAATCTCTGTAAGGAAAACATCAATTTTCCAAAATAGCATTTTTTAAAGGCTTTTAGGATCCATCCAGGAAGCCACTCTGGAATTTTGCCAAATCTAAATATGATTTTATTTCATTTCAGAGTTCATGGGATCAATATCGTTTTCAGTGTAAAAGTCCCAAACATTTTAGTATTCCAGTGGAGCTACAGAAGAGGTGTAGAGATATTCTTAAATCATTTAGGCGTTAGGCTACATTAATAATGCCTTGAAGAGAAATAAGTATCTCAGGGGAATTATAGTACAAGTTAATTACTAATGAAATTAGGGTGTGTTCCACCTTAAACTCCTCTTCAAATGGGCATGCTGGTACATGTGCCTAGGCTTGGTCTAATACACCCTAAACATGTAAACGGTTTTACAAGCTGTCATGTTTGGATGAGTCCTGAGAAAAGCAGTATATAAAGGGTTAGCTAACACCCAAATTTTCTTGCCATTTACACATGCAATGCAGCCTACATTTCTGTAGGCAGCAAATGCAGGCATCATTTTGATTGCTTGGATTCTTTTGTTTAATTTTTTTACTAGACATTTAACTTAGCACTCAAATCCCACTGATCCCTTAGAGACTGCATTTGGATCAGGAAAACGAAGTTCCTAATATAGAGAAGTTTAAAAAAAATTCCTGGGCCTTTGTAAACATTTGAAAAATAGACTTTTAGTGTAGCTCTGGAAATAACATATTCAGTATGCAGAAACTTAGGTACCTATCATATTCACATTATTATCTATCATTTTCACATTTCGTTTTCTTATCTTTCAATGACCAACTAATACAGAGGGTCACATATATATCTCCTATATGTCCTTAGTTTTTAAAAAGGTTTAGTAAAAACAGTATAAAATCAGAGATATCTTCATAAAATGATTCACACCATTTCTTCAATGAACTAGCTTCAATTTTAATTAAATGTTGCTTTTCCCCAATCTCTGTGCTAAATGTAACTTTATGAGATGACGTACATTATCAGCCAATAATATTAACTTGTATATAATATTTTACTTGTAGGAATTTGAAAGCAGGTAGAACTTGAAGATAATTGAGATTAAGTGAATTTAAGATTAAATAGCTTCATGTTATATACACAGTTAATTTCATGTATATTTTATGGACAACTTAAAAGTGAAAATTTCTGATAAGGTAAACTAAATTTTTCATTACTGATATAAGTAATGTGACTTTAAGTCTGTTACCTTAATAATTAATTCCTAAACAAACAAAAGAAGTGTAAAAATAATCATGGACTGTATCTGTTAGGTCAAGTAAATAAGAATAAAAATTTCTAGGTTTTGTCATGGCCATATAGGTTTTTGAGGTATTTTGGGGGTCTTTTGTGTAGGCAGATTTAACTTTGCCTCTTTTCTAAGAAGTTTCTCCCTCTTTGTCAATAGGTGTCTGGTGATTTGTGAGCATCAAGTGACTACTATGTGGAATCCTCTGTCCTTTCCTTTGAATTAGCTTTCCCTAGGCCATGAGTCAACACTAGTAGTTTATACATCCAAATTCGTAGGTCCTTATTGAAATCCTTCTATGTATTTGTTCTAGACATATAAGTGAAGTATAAGAAATTACAGATTTACATTGTGGTTGTTTTTACAGCATCTGGATAGCTTCAGGAAAATATTTGGGTGGCATTGAAACACTGGCCAATGGAAGCATTTGATTTTGTTGAATTTTGAAATGCAGGGCCTTACTGGTAGTACACTTCCTGGTCTTAGGGGTGGGGGGACCAGTCTGTAGCTAACTTACTGCTCTGTTATACATCACACTAAAGCCCAGCCTGGGCATCTGTAAACGTCGGGGAGGTTTCTACTTTAGACAACATTTTTTACTGAGGGATTATACCACAGTCAGTTCCCTCCATTTCTCCCTCTCTTCCTGGCCCCCCTCCACCCAACATGGAGCCTTTTCAACTTCTTCAAAGAAGTGGAAAAAAAAAAAAAGTAGACTCTTTATTAATGGCAGAAAACAAACTGGCTGCTGTACTTCCGAGGCAGCTCTCTAATAATAAAGCAGAATAGGCACTGCGACAAAGAATTCTTGAATGTACTAAATATATAGGGAAGCCTATTTAAATTCACCAGAGGGGCTTAGAGAACAAGCAGCCGAAAGTTTAGAATTCAATTCAAGCCATGCCAGAAAATGAAAATGTCCTTAAAAAAGGATTTCTGAAACAATTGTTCAAAGAAATGTCAACTTTTAAGGTTCTTTCTAGAAGAATGAAATTTGTACTCTAATTTATGTGGTGACTTTTTCAATTAGAGAGGAAAAGTGATTAATAGAATCTCAAAGGAATTGTATCTTATGTTTAAAGAAAACGTGTTTTCTTTCCATGGGATGCTCTCTAGTGAAGGCCACCTAGTGCACTGACTAAAAACAACCAAATATATTCATGGGACAGAGATAATTTTTTTTTTTTTTTGCAATTAGACATGTAACAAATGCTCATTTTATCTTGAAAGAAAAATGTTCAACTTTTATATGTTTTCCAGTTCATTTCTTGCATTCAGTTCTATGATTTAAAATATTTCATATGTAACTCTGAAAGAGCAATTTTCTGATTTATAATAGGACTATGTGTTTCTAAATTTAAGATATAAAAAGTAATCCCTACCTTATCTCTTAGTGATTGAGTCAGGAAATTCTCTTCCTACTATTTACCTATCTATAAGACATGTGCTTCTATAAGGAATACCCACATTTATAAGAAAATATATTTTATTGACCCCAATGTTGACTTTCTTTATAAAAACTGCTTATAAAGTTTATTCAAGGCCAGTGTGGTCTTGACTGATAGATGACATTTCATGTAGGCTTTTCTTAATATCTTCTTTTAAAAGTAACATAGATCTTGGAAAAAAAGATAGTTTTTCTTTGGCTTCAAGTATTGCAAGTTTTAAGGAGGATGAAGGCGTGGGCTTGCTAGTGACCATCTTTGTTGCCATTGTGGAGAGATTCTACCTGAGAATGAAGCCCACATGGAATTCATCATCCTACATATAATTTCTCAGATCAAAATAAGATATTTATTCATTAATGCATCGATTCTTCACACCCTCCCCCAAGTTCTCTCTGCTGGCTCTGCCTCTCCCTCTCACCTGATATTTCTCTCTCTCTCTCTTTCTTTTTCTCTCCAGTGTTGACTCATTCTCAGGTAAGCTTTCTTAATGTGGTAGCAAAGATGGCCACCCACCACTACAGACTTGCATCATGCATCATCCTACAGCCTGTGAATCGCGAAAACAAACAAACAAAAAGATTCCCTTTACCCCAGCATCAGTTTCAGTTGTCAGAAAATCTTGGATTGGCTCTGTTATGGTGACATGCCCATCTGTGGATCCACTTATTTGATAAACAAGTGCTACTCTGATTGGATGGCTAAATGTTGGGAAGCAAAAGAAGACTAGCCTATCCAGGTCATGAGGATGAGTGAGGGTCTGTCAATGGTAGAAAGTGAAGGGAATTTAAAGCAGGTGGAATGTAATGGGACACACAACCACCACTGCAAAATTTTTAATCACTGAGTATAATGATTTTTTTTTTTTTTGAGATGGAGTTTCGCTCTTGTTACCCAGGCTGGAGTGCAATGGCGCGATCTCGGCTCACCGCAACCTCCGCCTCCTGGGTTCAGGCAATTCTCCTGCCTCAGCCTCCCGAGTAGCTGGGATTACAGGCACGCGCCACCATGCCCAGCTAATTTTTGTATTTTTAGTAGAGATGGGGTTTCACCATGTTGACCAGGATGGTCTCAATCTCTCGACCTCCCAAAGTGCTGGAGTATAATTATTGATAGGATTTTGAAAATGTCTTGGTAAACTTACTGGTACCTATTAATCTGCAGCCAGTATTAGTTTATTCTGCCAAATGTCATCTGTACAGCATGGAAACTATAAAACATCTTCTGCAACAAATCTCAGCCTTAAGTGTCATGAAATTAATTACCTTTATTAACACTTTCCATAAGCATTTCATATATGATATATACCATGAAAGTCAGCATTTGGTCTCATTTAGGAATTTGAAATGTTAAAAATTATTTAGGATTACTAGAACTAGTTTGGTAAAGAAGAGATGATGATTTATATATTTATTTATTTATTTATTTTGAGGCAGAGTCTCATTCTGTCACTGAGGCTAGAGTGCAATGGTGTGGTCTTGGCTCACCCCAACCTCTACTTCCTGGGTTTAAGCGATTCTCCTGCCTCAGCCTTCCAAGTTGCTGGGACTACAGGCATGAGCCAGCACACCTGGCTAATTTTTGTATTTTTTTTTAGTAGAGATGGGATTTCACTATGTTGGCCAGGCTGGTCTTGAACTCCTGACCTCATGATCCACCCGCCTCAGCCTCCCAAAGTGCTGCGAATACAAGCGAGAGCCACCATGCCCAGCCTGATGCTTTTTTTCTGTAGCCTATTGTGTCTAACCTTAGCTACCTTATGTTCAGGCCATCTTCTTATAGCAAATTTTATATTCTTCTCACTTTTATCTCCAGTGTTACAAATAATTATGTATTGATTCTTGGAAATTTTTATTTTTGTTTATGAAGTAATTTCTTCCTCTACTATTATACACATATATGTGCATTATATATACCTGTGTGTGTGTGTGTGTGTGTGTGTGATGTATAGATGATGGCTACAATTATAAAATAAGGATGTTAGGTTCTTATTTATTATCCTTTACTTTTGTGCTCTTTTATTTATCATAGTATGACCTGGGTGGTTTTCTAACATTTTACTGTCAAGAACTACTATTTAGGAATCTTTCTAAATGATAAAAAGATTAATTTACTATGAATAATAGTTCTAATGTAAAACATTTTGGGCTTTTGTTGTGATGCAGATGAGCAAAGCCATAAATATAATTTAGAGAGTTTGAAAATGTATTTTAACATTCGCAATTCTTCTTACTAATTAATCAAATTAGAAAATTATGCTGTGGCTTCCAGTATATTAAAATAAGTTGTCGTATTTGGAACATCTGTTTATGGTCCCATTATGAATATTCCTAAAGGGCTGAAGTATAGATTGCCATAAATAATATTTGCAATTTGTTCTGTGGAAAAATGATACCTACTTCCCTTCACAATGCTTGTTTTTTTCCCACAAAGTAAATCTTCCAGATAGTATTTTATCATTCCCTTATCAAGACAGAGGAAAAAAGAGTCGGGTCTTACACAGCCTTGCTGATTGGTTAAGAAAAGAGACGGCTGTCATCGGCAGCCTTCCCAGACACTGTACCATGGCTCCAGACAGTCAGCCGGTACTATCGCTTTGTCTCAACTATAAATTACAGTCTCGTAATGGTCAAGGCTGACACCTTGACATTTTCAAGAAAAGTAAAAGACCTGATTTGAATGGAAATCAATTTCATTTCACAAATCTTGGCTTACTACTCCAAGCCTTTTCTTGTGTCTTCTTGAGACTTATTTGGGATTTCCATGATCATCAGAGGATTATTTGAGTGTTATATTATGCCTTTTTGAAGCTATAAAACCATATTCATACTTCCTTCTTCATTCTTAACATGAGAAAATTTATTTTTAAAATATTATATAAGAAAAATGACTAATAAGCAAGTTTTTAAAATGGCAATCAATAGCAGCCAATGCTATTTAGTTTTGCAAAACTTTTGTAAAATCTTCTCTGATTTAAAAGTACAAGCTGTGTACACACATATCCAGATTAACCTTTGATTAATAATATTATCAATTACAAGTGATTTTACACTTCAATCAAGCAGGTCTCAATGAAACTTAAAATCTTTTGAAAAGTATTTTCACTTTTATGTTCCTAGTCGTAATGAGAAAGTTTTAAGCTTTAAATTGTAAGTGTTCTACAGCCGAGGATGACTAAGTACTTAATTATGTTAGGTGGGACCTTGCATTAACTTGTGTCAGAACTTTTGACCATTCAACCCAAGTGACATAGAAGTAATTCGATACTTTACTATGATGAAAAGAAACTCTTTTTAGGGCTTTTAGGAGCTTTGCAGTGAATGTTTAAAATTTTTTATTTACTTATTCTGTTACATCTTTCTCCTTTAGAAGAATACTACAATTTCTTTAAAAGCATAGAGGGGAAGACATTTCTTCTTTCCTGGTGTTTTGTCTTGATCCCTCTCCAAGAGTTATCTAAGCTCAGTAAAGCCTTGGGTCTTCTAGACACAATATTAATGGAGAATTTGGACATTGCCTCTCTCTCTTTTTAAAGTGTGAAGGGATTACCTCAATGCCTTGTGGTGATTTCTTTTCATCTTCATTATTAGTCTTCAACTCTGTCTCAAATCATAATTCTAAACAGATAAACTTTGATTGTTAAATTCCTTATTTTATAAAGCCCTATGAATAAGTGAAATTACAGACAGTTAAAAACAGGATTCCCAACTCTTAAATCTTTTTATTCATTTTTCTATGCATCTACCCATTCATTCATAATCTATCTAGAACATGGTCCTATGCTAGGTAGGAAGGAAATACAAAATAAAGTTAGAATTCCTTCTTGACAAAATATTATGTTCTTAGGAGAATTTGTTTAAAAAACAAAAAAGTTATCAAGTCAGAATGTGATTGATCTACAAAGGAGATGGAAACACGATATTTTGGGATTCTAGAAATGGTATTTATTTTAGTCATTGAAAATCAAGAACAATTCCTTGGTGGAGGCTGCATTTAGCTCATCCCTAGATAGGAAGGATTTCTAGAGAAAGTGATGGAGGGGCTTGGGTTTCTGGGAGAATATACATTATACACAAATGTGCAGGAACGAGAAAGATGGGCTATGTTTAGCAGTGAATGTTGTTGCAAAGTTAGGTGCATTTGTTGGAAAGGTAGAAATTGAGTGACTAATAAGAGGTAAGCTGAAATGCGTTTGTGGAGCACCTATAGAGTTCAGAGAGGCTCTCCTGGAGGTCATGCAATTTTATAATCCAGTAGGCACTGAGGACCTTTTAAATATTTGGGGGCAGATGCAAGGAGGTAAGGTGCAAGATTAATCTGTTTCCAGTCAATATGGCATGATACTCCAATCCAGAGGACCTGTCAGAACTACTGAGCAAGCTTTATGTAGACACACCATTTTTCCTACCCCATAAATTCTGACTCACTAGGTGTGGGATACAGAATGTGCAGGTGTATTTTGTAAAAGCTCCTAGATGACTAGCTATCACACACATTGAGAAAGAGTTGGGTAGAGATTGCTGAAATGAGAAGATGTCAAGGTTTATTAGATAAGAATGAAGAGTATTGCAGTGTGTAGGAAGAACAAAAATGAAGATATAAACCAGGGTTTCTTAATGAGAATTTCACATGTGCCCAGAGTTTTATGTTCCTATGATATTACATGTAATATTTTGAGTGTATGTCCCTTTTTTTCTGGATAAAATGATCTAATCATGTGTATAATATTTTCAAAGGAGACTAAAGTCACCCAATATTAAGAACTATGAGGATCATTTAGTATGAAGTAAATGGGAGAGATTTCATGAATATACAATTGGAAGTATTTAATGACAGGGTAGATTGCATGTGGATGCAATTCGTGGTAAGAAAGAAAGGCAGAGAATATTTCATAAAGTTTTTCTAGCTATTGATACTAAAATAATTAGAATCATCATATTCCCTTTGTGAATTAGCATTAACTTACCCTTGGACTTGTATTTCAGTTCATAGAACTTTGATATTAGGCATGGTATGAATATTTTACCACAGGAAGATGTTGGAACAGTAGTGAAAATTTTAGAGATGACTACATAGCTTTGGAAAACATTCTCCTGGAAACATAGTTGAACGCTTTTCAAGTAGGGATCAGATTGCTTCCATCTTGTTGCTCTAGTAGAAATGAAAGGAGAAAAATAAAGGTACTGATTTCCTTTTTAAGGAAACAATTTGGAGCTTTTATAAACAGAATCTACTGTGTCCTTAGAACTTAATCACAAGATACACACAGTTTTGGGGCAGAGCAGTGCATGAAAATACAGACTTAATTCCACGTAGTTATTTACCCAGCTAAAAATCAGAAAAAAAAAAAAAAAAAAGAGAGTAGATATTGGAGAAAAACTATCAACCTGTCATAAGGAACATTAACGATTTTGTAGCATCTGATAATAAATGAACCCAACCATAATATAAGGATATTTTATCTCAACTTTCTCCTTAAATAATATATTTTGCTTAGAAAGATGTACAAATTCCTTTATAACATATTTCATGAAACATTTTAAACACCTGTCTTATTCAGGTAATTCATATCCTGAAAAGATTAAAACCCTTCCATGTTCAACTGGGAAGATAGTATTACTGGTTGCAAATGCAGTTAAACCTACTATTCCAATGTTTCTAAACCTGCTAGTCTTGAACCATTTTAAAACAATTTAAGATATTTTCATATTGTCTAAAGAAACTAAGTTTTTAACAAAATAAAATCTGGGAAGGGACAAGAAAAAAAGAAACAAAATAAAGTCTCACAGAACAATGATAGCAAAAGTTCATTTTATGCAATTATAAAATGAAAAATTCCAGACTAAATAGAAATATAAAAACAATTACTAAATCTAATCACCAGAGAATATCTCCTATTATCATACAATGTAAGCTCATATGTTCTGTCTCTTTTCTCATCACATACATGCACTCAATATTTTAATAATCTTTTGTAACTTGTTTTTCAATTGTTATATACTAAGTGAATACTATATGCTTATGTTATTTTTTGATACACTAATATAATTTATTTAACCAGTCAGCCCACAAGAGTACATTGAATTTACTTCCACCTTATTTTTCACCAATATGAACAGTATTATGTTGATAAATACACTTACATATAATTATATGTAATGATTCCCTAGGGATATTAATTGGAACAGATGATAATGGCCTGAATGAAGATGATGGCAGTGGGATTAGAAAGGCAAAGAGGAATCAGAGAAAGATTTAGGAGGTAGAATTGACAGAGCCAAGTGATTGACTGTAGAGTGGAATGATATCTGGAAAACTTAAACCAAAATAATTACCTACTCACATTATGCTGTTGCTCTGTTTTTCTCTACTCATTTGATCTATGACATTTGTTTTTTTCATGGGAAGGAAGAAGCAATCAAGAATAGAATAAACAGAAGATTTGAAGTATCTGTTAGATTATTTTTTAAACGTATAGCAAGTATAATGAACTCTAAACAAATTGATCTGGTTTGGAAGAGATGGACTCATAAGAAACAAATGATTTTACTTTTAATTTCTAAAGTGCATGGACAGAAATATTGGCCCTAATCCTAGAGACCTGGATCATAGAATTTATCATAGTTAACTATCAGATAGAGAAGACTTTAGGATATGATCTGAAAGTAGTTATCCATCACATAGAACACCATGAAACTTTCTAGACTGGGGTCAGTAAAGAGACTAATGTCCTAGAGAGAGAAGAGAAAATCAAATATAGGCAAATACTTCCTATTTCACTCCTAGTTTTACAACTTCTAGGGGAGGCAGTGAAAATCAGAGACATGTAATTCCACCTTTATTGTACATTAAATTATCATACATTCCAGAATATTCTAGTCCATTTTAATATTGTAGATACAATAGTAATAACTATTGTTCTAGATTTTCTTTTCCTTTTCAGTGAGTGAATTAAAAACCTTGAAAACTGGAATCTTTTTTTATATAGCTTATCCAAAAGTATGTTTTTCAAAGGTTCATTCAGACTTTACTTTTTCTTCCTTTGTCTTTATGCAGATAATCAAGTCCTTGGTCTTAGAAAATAGACTCATTTATTCATTAACTCAGTCAACAAATACGTTAAATACCTTCCATATGGCCAGTGAATTATTTTAAGTTGTAGAATTAGTTTCAGCTACAATTTATTGTATTTTATTTGTTTAATGTTAGTTGAACATATCACAACCTTTATGCTGGTTGGAGCACATGCTTCACACAGATCTCACTGAATATTTTAGGATTATAATTAGAAATAAACAAAGCAGGCCTGGTATGGTACCTCACACCTATAAATACTAGCATTTTGGGAGGCTGAGGCAGACTGATCACCTGAGGTCAGGAGTTAGAGACCAGCCTGGCCAACATGGCGAAACCTGACTCTACTAAAAATACAAAAATTAGCTGGGCATAGTGGTGCATGCCTATAATGGCAGCCACTTGGAAGGCTGAGGCAGGAGAATCGCTTGAACCCAGGAGGCAGAGATTGCAGTGAGCCAAGATCATGCCACTGTACTCCAGCTGAAGTGATAGAGCAAGAGTCAAAACAAAAACAAAAATACAAAGCACAGACACACACAAACACACCTACCTAAAAGCCTATAGGAAATTGATGATGGTGCTAAAGAAATTTCAGAAAGACTGTAATGGCACATCTTTTCAAAATCATTGACTAAAATCACCAAGAGAAAAACAAGTATGATTTCTTTGTTAGTGCTTCTAATATCTTTCCTGAGAATTCATGTGGAACAGAGAATCTAGTGAAATTTGGTGCTTTGCGTCATTACTAAGCTCATATCTGCAAGCTAATCATGTGTGATAAGGCTAAAACGTAAAAGCTTTTGAATCAATAGCTCTTTCAGATGATATTCTGATAAAATTACTTCATTTGCTTTCCTAACTAATTTATGTAAGTGGAAAGATTAAGAGAAAAGCTTATATTAGGAGTAACAGGATCCAAAGGGTGGATTGGACTTCATTGTTCTAGTTGGCATCTTTGTAAGCCCTTTAATAATGTGATCTCCGAAACGTCTATCTTAGACAGGGGTATACTTTCTGGCTTCATTTACTTGAAAATAAGTTAGGGTCATAAGCAGAGGTTAGGTTACTTCTACCTGGAAATTAATCAGAAATTTCATTTTGCCCTTTGGTGTTGCTCTTCTGCCCCCACACCTCAACACACCTTCTGTCGAACAATCCTAAAGCTCCTTTTCATGCATCATGGCAGTTTAAAAGAATCTGAAATTGTGGATTTCCATATTTACATAATTATATACTGAATATATAATATAATAGGGTAGGGTAAAGTGTTTTTAAAAGATGTGACATCTTAAAGAAAATCCAGAGATATCATAAGTGACTCTAATTTATTGGCAAATTTCAGACTACGTTCTTAGTCATATTTCTGCTAGAAGAAACCTACTTTCCATTTTGTGTTTTCTCATTTGCATTACTGCAAAGTTATTCATGCATATGAAAAGGATATTATTCATCTCCATATTCCTTTCTCTCCTTATTCCAAACCCAATGGGTTTATGAGTTATACATAAAGAAACACACTGCTATCTCTGTATGTTTATACATAGATATCTATCTGATTCAAATTTGGTATTACAGCTGGATAGCAACCCCAAGTGATAACATTATGTGCCACATGTGTCTTATTACATCATTCATGACATACCAAAATTGTCAAATATGTTGAAATCCAATAATTATAACTGACAAGCTTTAGCATGATTGGGAATGAAAAAAAAATAGAGGAATGTATTTCTGAATTATTCCTCATTGGGAATGAAAAAAAATAGAGGAATGTATTTCTGAATTATTCCTCATTGGGAATGAAAAAAAAAATAGAGGAATGTATTTCTGAATTATTCCTCAAAGTACATATAGCTGTATGATAAGCTCTTGTTTCTTATCTGCTAATATTTTTAGTGAGATGCTGTTTTCAGAGTATTTGTGGTAGCTGGTTTCTGAAATTTTTATGTGCATAAAACCATATCATCATCTAAATTGAAATTCCAGTGCTATTCCAAAAAGAACTACAAAGGTGAACTGAAGGAAAATGACCAACCTGACAGGGCTTTTCCTTTTCTCTAATGTTTGATTCTTCTTATCCTAATATCCCAGAAAATTATTTCACTTGAAAGTTTAGGCATAATTCACAGAAAAACATTTTGTCTTTTCCATTCTCCAGTTCTACTTACTATTGCTTCAGTTCCTGAAAGGTTTTCCTCAAAATATCTTGGCATTTGCCAGGCAGAAGAAAATAGGGTTGACAGTGAATTTCATGGGCACAACCCTCATTCATGACAATGATAAAGTATTCAAAATTCTCACCCTTTGTGTCCTGCTTTATCTGTATTTAGGGATGGCATGAAGGAAGAGAAAGAGAAAGCTTATATTTTTCTCTTTAACATTAACTTTCATTTAGCTGTTAAAGAGCGGAATAGTTTTTAAGCCCAGAATACATTGTAATTGCATTTTCTTTTTCAATAATTGTAGCAGATGTTAAAGTGAAGAGACAATGGCAGTGACATACAGAATAACCTGGTTTCCTAGATGGACCCACTTGTCGGAGATCAAACAGCTACAGCACATTTAGGGTTACACGCTCTTTCCCTTCCTCCTTATTCTCAACTGTAGTGGAGCTTTTTCCAAAGTTGCCATGGTAACAGTATATCTGGCTGCTAGCTCTGTCGTAAGTTATTGAACTGAGACTGGCTTTTGGTTTAGCAGATAATTAGGTTCTGTCTCACAGGTTCATTTTCCTGTGACTGGGACGTGAATATGACCTACAGCTGGCCTCAATTTCAGTGTCACAGACAAAACTTTAACCCTTCCAAGCTCCTCTGGCACACTCCTAAGCATTGCTTATGTGTTAAAGGAAGTCCAGTATCGCTCACCCATACCTTGGGGAGGATTACCAAGTCCTCATTTTATTTTTTATCTTCAGCATAACACTAAAGAAAATCTGGTTAAGTTGTGTACGTAGAGCATTTTCAAAATTAAAAATATATCAAGAACATGATATATATTTATATATTTTATATATACTACATGAAACTTTTCATAGTCATATTATTTCCTTGACTCTCTAATAATTTTCAAGCCACACTGAAATTTCTTTTGTTATAATTAGGAATGCACAGAATTTAAATTCAAAACCTCTATGCTCAGGAATATTAGGTGGTTACTTCTATTCTCAGCTTTGAGAACTGTCTGCCAGTTCATTCACACCCTTGTTTCCACTTTCATATTCCCTGAACTATAGCTGACATTGAAAGGTTCCGCTGGAGTCTCAGGCAAACCCATGTGACAAGGAACACAACTACCAGTCTCCTAAATGCCAAAATGTTCACTCAGGGCTTAAATCTTTCTGGTTTGGAAAACCAGCTACTTTTGCATGTTGTATTTGGAAGATTTCAATCAGTTAAATAACTGCTCTTTGTTTAAGACAAAGAAAGAAACATTACTTTGGGAACAGATATTGAATTCACAATATCCATGGCAACACAGGGAGCTCTGGAGTTAGTAAGAGAAGGTATACCTTTCTATGTCAAACAATGGGAAAGACCTTCAAGGAAATCTGTTTAAAATTTTAAGTGTATATAGCCTAGAAGCTTAACATGAAAGGATAAGAAAGAAATAGGGAGAGTTGAGTTTACCAGAATTAAAACATGAATTAAAGGAATTCCATAGTGTAATTGGCTGAAGAATCACCTAACGTTAATAGTGATAGGTAAAATTTATGAAAGGGAAGATTAGAAAATTCAGCAACTGCATATTGGACTTCAGATGTGTGTGCACGCACGTATGTGCGTATGTCACTCATAGATTGTTTTCTATTTTAATCTGTGCCTTTCATACTCAAACTCTAGACGACAAGAGCACCTCAAAGATAGCAGCCTCAAGGAGCAGCCATGGCCCCAGAGTTGTCCCACGAATGCAGAGAACTTAGTGGAGGAGGCTGAGGTCAGAATGGGAAAAGTTTTTAAAAAGTAAAAAGAAGAGCTGATATGTAAGGACTGATTGCTGTGCATTATTTTCCACTGAACTGACCTTCTTTTAGCTTCTAATCTCAAGCACATAGCACCTGTTGTTTTCATATTGAAGAACAGTGTTTGTTGAATGAATATATAAATTCTTCCAAAATCTCTGTTTCGTGTGGTAAGAACTCAGTTAGCATTCAATTATAAAGAGGACTTAGAAAGTCTGCAAGCATTTTTGATTAAAAAAAAAAAAAAGAAATCCTTTTAACTGTCTTCTCATGGTTCCTGGTAACATCTAAGCCCAAAAAATTCAGGTCATTTCTTGCCTGCACTGTTGCAATCGCCTCATCATAATTGTTCTTCTCCTTTATCAACCACAGTCATCTCCACTACATGAAGAAGAGAGGGTGCTAAAGTGTAAATTATCTCAAATCAACAGCCTCCTCATAATTTGCCAGTGGTTTTCATGTCATTAGAATAACAAGAACAATTTCTTGCTTGTGAAATCATATATGACCTTGCCCCTGTCTACCTTAGTGGCATCAGCTCTCATGACTCATCCTCTTTTTCACTCTGCACCTTGCCTTTTCCTAACCATGCCTGCTAGTCAACTTTAGCCTTTGTGTTCTCTTTGCCAGGAATTGCATTCTCACCAGGAATTGCGTGATTCACTTCTTCACTTTATTCTGATCTCTCTGCTCAAATGTGATATTTTTAGAGACACCTTTCCTAACCATCTTAAAAAGCACCGCATTCACTGTCGGACACCTTTCCTGCTTTTTCTTCATAAAACGTATCACTTCCTGATATTGTATTAGACAACAAGCAAATAAGTATATGCCTATATGCTGTTCCCACTAAAATATAAGCTCTTTTTGAACAGGAGCCTGAATTATTTATGAGTATATCCCTAGTGCCCAAAATCTAGTAGACTGGTCCCTATTAGGGCTTTAATAAATATTGGGTTCATTTGTTGAATGAATGAATAATTGAAAAAGAATATCCAGGTAGAATATCTGGGCAGCCCAACCTATTTGAAGCCCGTACGGTGTTTCTCTAACATAATGAATGCAATTATTCTTCTACCTGATGCAATTACATGAGTACATAAGGATAAAATTAAGCACATAGTTTAGATTTCTTCAAGTCTCTTCCTTAGATTAAGGAAAAACAAAGAAATGGAGCTTATTCCTACCTCATTCTTACATGAACTAAATCCAGAATAAAGCATCATCCATGTACCAAACACATCCCTACCCCAGCCACTCATGGAATACTTTATCTGAAAAGGAACAGATAGTAAATATTTTTGGCTTTGGGGACCATACAGTCTGTGTCACTACCACTCAGCACTTCTGTTGAGGTGTGAAATCAGCCTTAGACAACACATAAACAAATGGGCGTGGCTGCGTTCCAATAAAATGTTACTTATAAAACCAGAAAATCGGCAGATTTAGCACACAGGCTCTAGTTTGCTGACCCTTGAATGAGAGAGTCTTCCCCAAAATCCTCTTCTCAAGTTATTGAGAGAATGCCCATAGGACCACGGCTCCCTCACTTGGTTCTTTCATGAAATGAGACAAATTCAGGGATAGCTGGAGGGCAGAACACCTACCTGTGACACGACTATTGAGCCTGATGCCTTGCCTTTTATGTCTTTAAACTGAATCAAACCTTAACTATAAACTGTCTTTACAGTAGCAATAACTGGGCCATGTCAAATGCTCCCAATGACAAAATTTCTCCTTGGAGAATGAATGAAGGTTGCATATAGTGGTATGTTGGTATATGTTTAGCAACTGGCTCTCTTACTGATTTCTATGGTGTAAATTCTCCCCTCCTAGCCATCTGAAACTACCAATATGATGTCATTTAATGTAGAGTTGGGAAAAGACAGTCTCTTGAATCAGTATGAGCTGGTTTCAGCCCACTGCTGAATACATATTTAAAAGCTACAATAGCCCTGCCATTGCAGAGTCTGCAGGAAAGAGTAGTGGACTTGATAGGAGCAACTGGCAGGATAGTCTTTTGGATTGCCAATAAATAACGAAAAAGTATATAAATATAATGCTCTATAGAAAGCTGTCAAGTTTAGTGCTTGGTTAAAATACATACTCAGTAAATGGTAGCTATTATTGTCTTAGTTTAGTTATTGCAAGCATCAAAATTAAATGTTTAGCTACAGACTCAATCCAATTTTAATGTCATTGTGTCAATAAGACCTCTTAACATTGAAGCAACAAAGATAAAGGAATTTTTTTTGTAGCTATTCACAATTCTGCCCAGCTCAAGGTAAGGATAGCAGCAAAATACTCTAACTAGAATAAAAGAAGTCTCCACTTGACTGCAGCTCTTCACAACACTTCACAAGGGTCAAGCTGTGTTACTTTCCTTCAGTGTTAAATAGAATGCATCTCAGAAGAATAGCTCAATTATTGATTGAATAGTAGGTTCAAGTTGACTATAATCCCAATTTAAGACCAGGGATGGGTCAACAGAAGGGTAAAATTTTCTAATCAAGCCTCGAGGCAAACACTCAGAAGTAGTAATATGGATATCTTATATTATTTTGTCACATATAATACTGTTGCAGCCCAGTTGTGCAAAACTGGTAAAATAAAAGACAAAAATATTGACATCAGTTTGGGTAACTGGATTCCAAAATGAACATCCATCTAAGAGAAATTAATGAAAAAAGTATATGGACCTTGAAAGACGTTAATACACAGTTTAGGTTTAAACACTCAGTTTTGGGTAGAAAAGACTAATACATGCTGTTTTAATACTACAAAAGTGCTGTTTCAGCTATTTACTCTCAAACCTCCTTCACCCATTCCCCTCAATCTATAAAGCTTTCTGCACATCTTGGTCTGTGAAATAAAGTTAAAAAGGAAGCATTTTTTCTTTGCTTTCTAGTTAATGTTGATATTTTTCTCATGCTTCTATTAGTACGTAATTCAGATACATTAGTTTTAAAGTCTTTAATCTGCTCTGCTTCTTGCGGGCTCTCTATTCTAGATGAACATTGTGTATGGAACACCAGCCAAGTCCTGGGCAGAATCCTCTCCATTGTCTAAATATTACTGAATCAGTTGAGTTTTCTCTGTTTTCAATGAATTATTCCATGTATTTCTTTGCTACATTTTATTTTGGCTTTCTGTTCATAGTAAATGATAGCTTTGTTTCTAAAAAATTTCTGTTATGAAAATTCCAAATATATGCAAATTAGAGAGAATAGCATAATGAATCTCTTTGTGCTTATCACACAAATAGGTTTAATGACTTAACATATATCAATTTATGGCCAATCTGGTTTCATTTATACCACCTTTCGCTCATTCCTAACTCCATGGATTATTTTGAAGTGAACTCATGCATCATATAATATGCATATATCAACAAATATTTCAGTATGCATCTTTAAAAGAAAGCACTGTTTTTTAAACCTCAGTAGCATAATGGCTCCTACAAATATTTGCAGAACTTTCCTGGTATTATCAAATTCTATGTCTGCAAACTTCTGATTGTCTCCTTTTTTGTTTTTACTGTTAATTTCTTTGAATGAAGATGGCGTTTGATTGACGTGTTTTTAAAGTCACTTTTAATCTATTGGCCCACTTTCAGTTAATCTTTTGCAACTTATTTATTGATGGAACTGGGTTATTTGTCCTTTATTGTTTCTCTCATTCTGGAATTTGGTGTAATGTCATTAACCATGTTCTTCTTTCCTGTATTTTCTGTAAGTTTTGAGCTAAACTGAAATATTTTAATCAGATTCCTTTTATTTTGGTTTTAGCAAGATTTATTCATACATCATAAAATTTGAAAAAAAAGGACATACATTTTTAATTTTTTTTTATAAAAACAGATAATGAATAATATTGTAATAAATCCCAACAGAGCATAGAGAACCTGACTTTACTGAAGTTAGTGGGAGGATGTTTGTGATTTTAAAAGTATGTATTATGGTTGTGTCATCTAGAAATCAAATATTCAAGCTCATATGTTAAAATTAGTCATCATTACATTTTTCAAAAATAAAAAATAAATAGGCTAGGCACAGTGACTCATACCTGTTATCCCAGCACTTTGGGAGGCCGAGGCAGGTGGGTCATGAGGTGAGGAGATCAAGATCATCCTGGCTAACCAGGTGAAACCCTATCCCTACTGAAAAATACAAAAACTTACCCAGTCGTGGTGGCACACATCTGTAGTCCCAGCTACTTGGGAGCCTGAGGCAGGAGAATCACTTAAACCTCGGAGGTGGAGGTTGTGGTAAGCCCAGATCACACCACTGCACTCCAGCCAGGGCGACAGAGTGAGACTTTATCAAACAAACAAACAAACAAATAAATAAATAAATATAAATCAATCAATCAATCAATCAATCAATCCAACCCAACCTTAACCATCAGTGATTCCATCAACTGAGCAAATTTGAGTAGCATTACCCTAGTGAGTATTAGACTGTGGATTATTCTACTCATGTATCTGAAAATGGATTATAGTATGAAGAACTTTCTGAACAAATAAAAGATACATACTTAGACCTTCTCCAATCTAGAAGAATACTTGGTTATTGTCAGAATAATGAATGAGGAATATTGTTTTAGAACCAAACTTCTTTGATGAGCTGTACAAAGACCAATATGGATCAGATAATAGGGGCAATTCAAAGCATCAGAATTTTGGTGGATTCTTATGGTGAAGCACAATGAACCCTTCCATCCCACTCTAAGAAAATAGAGTTCAGAAGCTGGGCACGGTGGCTCACACCTGTAATCCCAGCACTTTGGGAAGCTGAGCTGGGTGGATCACCTCAGGTTGGGAGTTCAAGACCAGTTTGACCAACATGGAGAAACCCCATCTCTACTAAAAATATAAAATTAGCCAGACGTAGTGGCACATGCCTGTATTCCAGCTACTCAGGAGGCTAAGGCAGGAGAATCACTTGAACCTTGGAAGCTGAGGTTGCAGTTAGCCAAGATTGTGCCATTGCACTCCAGCCTGGGCAACAAGAGCAAAACTCCATCCCCGCCTCCCCTCCTAAAAAAAAAAAAAGAAAATAGAGTTAAGATAAAACTATGAAGGCACAATGTGAAATGTCAGTTGTCTTTGCAAAACATAGGTATATGTGTATTCTTGGGAATGGAGAAAAGGTATGTAATTATTTGTGGCTTTTCAAACATTTATGGCTTTTAATAAAACCATCTCTGGTGCCTTTTTGATTCCTCTTATTAAAAAATAAACGTGGAAAAATAGTAGTCTTTAATTTATAGTTACAACATTATGATAGAACTTTAATCTCATATCTCACTTGATAGAAATGAAAGAATACATTTTCCCATTATATATTGATTAGAGTTAATTAAATATAGTTAGTATTCGACTTACATTGATGCTTTTTGTTCAAATCTCCAGTGTTCTGTATAAATATACCAATTATTCAATAAAAGATCACTTAAAATTAGACCCATATTGTTTTGAAACTTAGAGAATATCTTCTTTGAACTGAGAACTGTATTATATTGTTAATTAGTTATGTTCAAATTCTGAATTTCCTTGAATCTATTTTAATTCTATATTAAAATTGAAGAGGTTTTTCCAGAAAAAAGTTAAATTCACCAAAGGCAGTGGGGATTTTGACCCGCTTCTTGTACTTCTATTTTTCTACTGCTTTTGCCCCCAAAGGAAGAATATAAACATTCTGCTTGCTGTAACACATTGCTTTGTTATGATATATTATTGTTACCACTTTTTTTAAAAAAAAAAACGAATGTTTCTATGTTTTAATTAAGCTCCATCTAATACGTAATTTTAAAGCTATTATTTCATGTAATATCTAACTGGAGCAGGCTGAACCTTTGGACAAAATGATGTAGTTATAATGAAAATAGAAAAGCAAAGGCGAGGTGCAGTGGCTCACCCCTGTAATCCCAGGACTTTGGGAGGCCAAGGTGGTTGGATCACTTGAGGTCTGGAGTTCCAGACCAGCCTGGCCAACATGGCGAAACCCCATCTCTACTGAAAATACAAAACTTAGCCAGGCGTGGTGGTAGACACCTATAATCCCAGCTACTCTGGAGGCTGAGGCAGGAGAATCACTTGAATACAGAGGCGAAGGTTGCAGTGAGATCATGCCACTGCACTCTAGCCTGGATAACAGTGATACTCCATCTCAAAAAAAAAAAAAGGCCTTTTCACAAGATGGTGCTGAAAGTGAAGAAGGAAGCTCCTGCCCCTCCTAAAGCTGAAGCCAGAGTGAAGGCTTTCAAGGCCAAGAAGGCAGTGTTGAAAGGTGTCCACAGTCACAAAATAAAGAACATCCACATGGCACCCACCTTCTGGCAGCCCAAGACACTGCGACTACAGAGGCAGCCCAAATATCCTTGGAAGAGCACCCCCAGGAAAAACAAACTTGACCACTATCCTATCATCAAGTTTCCGCTGACCACTGAGTCTGCCATGAAGAAGATAGAAGGAAACAACACACCCGTGTTCACTGTGGATGTTAAAGCCAGCAAGCACCAGATCAAACAGGCTGTGGAGACGCTCTGTGACATTGATGTGGCCAAGGTCAACACCCTGATTCGGCCTAATGGAGAGAGGAAGGCATGGGTTCGACTGGCTCCTAATTACAATGCTTTGGATGTTGCCAACAAAATTGGGATCATCTGAACTGAGTCCAGCTGGCTGATTCTAAATATATGTATACCTTTTCACCATTTTATCAAAAAAGAGAAAGAAGAGCATAGCTGTAGGCAGCTTCAAGCTTATAATCTCTACAGAGCAATAGCAATAAGATACTCTGTACAAAGTTAAGTCAGAGATTATTGCACATCTCATGATGGGATTCTCTTTTTAAAAAGTTTTCTTTTATTGAAAGCCACACTCAACAGGTTTTTTAAATTGTAAACTGCATTATTATTGATGATATGCACAATGTTACACAGCAGATTTCTAGAGTTTATTCATCTTGCTTAACTAAAACTTTATGCCCATTGAATAGTAACTCCCCATTTCTCCCTTTCCCCAGCTTCTTACAACACCATTACCTTTTGGTCTACAAATTTGATTATTTTAGATACATCATGTAAGTGGAAGCACGAAGTGTTTGTCTTTCTGTTTCTAACTTATTTCATTCAGCATAATGACGTTCAGGTCATCGATGTCACCCCACATTGCAGAATT